TGTTTAAATTTAACAAATGCATGTAGGATGTGGAAAAAATTGAATTTATACAATGCAAAAAAATATATTTTTTATATTCAATCAAAGTATTTCTACTCACTCAAAGTGTTTGTTTTCTGCGTAAGTGTGTCATTCTTGCAGGTCGTGTTGAGAGTGCCAGTGAGATATTGTTGTATTTGTTAAATTTAAACAATGTTTGTAAATCCCAGGCCCTGAAGATGATCTCAATAAAGATCGAAACGTGTGGTGATTAGTGACCGTTAATCGATAATTATTCAGAAATCGTGAGATGAGGTCTGGTGTGATGTAGGTTTCAGAAAAACATTTTCTTTATCGTGCCGACGTTTCGATCTTTATTGAGATCATCTTCAGGGCCTGGGATTAACAAACATTGTTTACAATTAACAAATACATTTAGGATGTGGAAAAGTGAATTTATACAATGCAAAATATATTTTTTATATTCAATCAAAGTATTTCTACTCACTCAAATTGTTTGTCTTCTGTGTAATTGTGCCATTCTTGCGTGTCGTGTTGAGAGTGCCAGTGAGATTTTGCTCTTTTATGTTTATATACGTTGGCACGGTAAAGAAATGTTTTTCTGAAACCTACATCACACCAGACCGCATCTCACGATTTCTGAATAATTATCGATTAACGGTCTCTAATCACCACGCATTTCATGTTAAATTTTATAAAAGAAATTACACTTATTTTTCATCTATTCCTAGATCTCTAAGATACCTTAATATGTTAGATATTGATATTTTTAGTTTATCTAGATTAGCTTTGAAAAGAAAACCGTTATTAACTATTAATTAAGGTTTTTAGTTGAGATAAAAAAAGTCAGTGACACGAGCGGGATTCGAACCCACGATCTTCGGCTAGATACGCCGCTGCTCTACCACTTGAGCTATCGTGACTTCGATCCTCTCGGACACTAACTTCCCATTTCAAGTTTTTCCCTCCTTCCAATATTCCAATTTTCCCTCCTTTTTGCCATTTTTCAAGCAAAAGAGACGTTAGCTCAAATGGTAGCTTTTGTTATGGAAACATTATGTTCCTAAAAACGAAATATTTCATTTTACCTGTTTTTCTTTCTGAGAAGTATCTTTATATTTTATATTTTGCTTATTTGCTTGTAATTCGTTTTGTACTTTGCACAGTTATGTTGTTTTTCAAAAAGTTTATATATTTTTTATTCTTGGCTTATGTTACATTTTATATTGGTTTATATAAATTGTATGTGAAAGGATTAACGATCCGTAAATAAATAAATAAAAAATAAAATAAATGTTTCCTATACTGTTAAAATTGAAAATTAATTTAATCCTTTATTTTTTCTCTCTACTTTAAGTCAAAATGTGTTATAATTAAAGTAATTATTAACATTAATTATTAATTTGACTATATACATTTTTTAGTATTGTAGGATTGTTATTAACTTATTTATTTAGATTCGATAGTGCTTAGATAGTGATTAGATATATGAGTTTTTGATATATTCACCAATTCCATCCCTGGAATATTTACGATTTTACCTTTAGAATTGTTTTTTAAATGCTGGTCATTTACAACAGTTCTTAGCGTTAATCTTCACGAAATAGACTGGCTATCTTAAAAATTGCAATACAAAATCCCTTTCACGTTAGCTTTGCGTTGCAATAATTTGCAAAGGGTAACCGGCCTACTTTCTTAGAGAGATTACCGGAGTCTTCAAAAATAAAAAAATCACTGTCAAATTGTTAAGGTGAAAGTGTCTATCTTTCAAACGGAGGAAATCTTGCCACTAAAAATGTCAATTGCACTTCGCTTTTACTCTTTGAAATTGTACACTTTCATAAATACCTTTTTATTTAATAAATTGAATTTAGCAGAAAATGTTCACAAGTATTCACCTGTTCTGCAAATTATAGGACCAATTTTGTATATTTTAATACCACTTAGAAATTATATTCACACTACTACAAACTAATTTTTGTCAGTCATTGTATGACGTGAATCGGTGAAAAGTACGCAATATTAATGTTTGTATGGCGAGATAAGTTTTTCGGCTTCAAGGATGCTGATGCGTCAATGAAAACAACCAAGGGCCAACAGGGAGGGAACAGTAAATTTTCAAGTCGTAAAAACGTCAACGCGTATTTCACAAAATGATTAAGCTGGGGAGAAAATTAAAAGCAGTTCTTTTAATATTTATAGAAGTTTTAAAAAAAGGGTTCAGAAATAACTTTTGACTCTGTAATTCATTCAAGAGCAACTTACAAATTAGTCTTCCTGGAAAGATAGCTCGGTAGATTTATCATCGTTAAGAAAAATAATAGTGATAACTAATAATAGTAAGGGCTTAGAAATTAATCAAGTCTACGGAATTGTCATTGTGATTAAACATATTTGTAATTTATCATACGTCTGATAAAAGTGAGCAATGTGGTAAATGACTTTACCGCGTAATAAACTGAAATAAGTGGTTAATTACTGGCTTTGTTCACTGCGATGATGGAAAGTAATTTTCCTCCTTAATAATGTAATTACAAGATAACGGTTCATTAATTTAGGTAATTGAAGTTTTGGAAATAACTTTGTCCTAGTGAACGCTTCAATTTATAAACTGAGTCAACTTTTACTGTTATCTCAAATCTCGCCGTTTTGGTTATATTAAATTATCACATTGTTATGTTATTAATTCCTCTATTCATCATTCTTTAGCCTTTATGATTATTTACAAACGCCTATGTTTCTTCTATACCATATGTTCTTTTCATGTTAATTCTTGTGCTTCTTATTAAAGTTTATCTTAATTTGATATAAAGTTTATGAACATATTTTTTTAATTAGTCTAATTCCAAAGAAGCTGTCTACAATAGTTGGTTTTAACTATGTACAGATTGGATACGGATCATTAAGATTCTTTTGGGAGATTTAAATAAATAGAAATATAGGAGTGATTGACAAAAGATAGAGACAGACAGACAGTTAGAAAAAGTGTGTCTATGTGTGTTTGAAAGAGAGAGGGGTGAAGGGGGAGGGAGTGAGAGAGAGAGAGAGAGAGAGAGAGAGTGAGAGAGAGAGAGAAAGAGAGAGAGTGTGTGTGAGAGAGAGAGAAAAAAAGAGAGAGTGAGAGAAAGAGAGAGAGAAAAGAGTGATTGGGAGATAGTTAAATACAGATACAGATAGAAAAAGATATTTTTTAGAAAGATAGATAGATTAATAGAGTGAGTGCGTGAGAGAATGAGAGAGAGAGAGAGAGAGAGAGAGAGAGAGAGAGAGAGAGAGAGGGAGAGAGAGAGGGAGAACAAATGAGTAGAAAGAAAAGGAATGTGAGATATGATAGGTATAAACAAAGAGATACATAATATATCATGTGTAGTTATATTCTATTCTACCCGTTTAATAGCATATTGAAAAGGTTATGAAGGATCTGAATCTGTGAATTGTTTGCGAAATCTAATTGCTGAGAGTCTAAGAAATTGTCTTTGAACAGATTCTATTGTGAGAATATTTTTGATTGATTTTATGAAAGTTGCATATTCTAGAATATAACTAGTAGCTTATAACTAATGACTTGTAGAACGTGATTTTTGGGGGTTGGACTGGATAAGCCGCGGGCAATTTGAATAATGAATCCTAACGTTTTTAAAGTTTCATTTTTTATGAAAGAGATAGGATAACCGAAGGCAAACTTTTCATCGAACTTAACACCAAGATCTGATACTCTACGAAGAGGGGAAGAATTTAGAGAAGTTGAGTACACCTCGAACTCACTTAAGGCATAAAGTTTTTTGAAGAAGAGAAATATCGTCGAAAAGACTTTATAGAGTGATAAAGTTTCAGGTTATCTGCTAATAAGAGGAACAGAAATTTAGTGAGAGAGAGTTTGATATCATTAATAATTTTTATTTTATTTATTTATATTTTTGTACGGTTAGTTGTCCAAATGAGCACGTGGTCTTTTTAGTTAAAACTCTTATTTTTCATTGCTTCGAGCAGTTTGCTCATCTTCCGAGGACCGGCATGGACATCCCAAAATCCATGGGATGAATAATATTCCACCAAAGTTCCAAAAGATGAGCAACCTCTCAAAACGTCAACACCATAAAAGAATAAGAAAGTTATAATGTCATATGGAAAAACCACAAAAACTATGAACAACGTTAATAAATATATTAAAAAGAAGTGGACCTAATTGAGATTCTTGCGGAACTCTCGAAGTGAACAAAATTTCTCTTAATTTAATTACATTTATTTGATATTTACAACTACAACTATTGGATTAAATAAATATGTTCGTACGTACATATATGCTGAGTTTGTCATTTGTGTCTCTTGGAGAAGTTGCCTCGGAGCAACCTCAAACAGAGTCTCTAACTGTAATAACTGTTCATCCATTTTAGTATTTTACCATGAACACCATAAAATTATGCCAACAAGAGACCATGGTTTACTGAGTTAAAATCCTTGGATGTTTATGTAGACTCAGTCAAGACGTAATGCTAGATTGTTAATATATTGTTGATGGTAGAGCGAACTGTGAGAAAACAATTTTGCTCGGGAATCTGTTAGGGATTCAAATAACTTAAGAAAGAATGATCGTAAAGAAATAGGCCTAGAATTATTTATGTCAGCAGTTATTGAAATTTAAAATGACATCTTGTGTAAATCTGAAAATACTTTAGAGCAAAGGAAAGAGACTACGGTTAACGGGAGAAGTATACAAGTGCAAGAAGAATAAGTTACATTTTTATCAAATTCATCGGAATAAAGTCTGGCAATAAAATTTTAAAATTGCACCTCAATAGGCCTTTATCACGACATTACCACTGCGCAAGGTTTTATAAATAAAATCTAAAGTATATATTTTGTTTTTATTTAGTATATATTATTATATTTGCTATTTATGTATATTCGAAATCTTTTTATGAGAAAGACGTTATCACATTTCTGGAGTTGTCATGGTGCCCACCATTAAAGAATCTGCATGGCGCCTAAAGGAGAAACCTTCTCAATGCTGTTTCCAATTTATCGTTTCCAAGACCCAATATTTCATTTTTATTATTTTTTTTTAGTTTTATTTTATTCGACTTTTTATAGTTTAATGTTTTAATATCAAAATTACGTCCGTTACGAGTTTTTCTTTAAGTCAGAAGGAATAATTATTTATAATTACAACACTTTATTACTGTATTACTATTACAAACAAACAATTATTTGTAAAATGAAGGTAAGTTATTTAATATGTTTTCCATGACATCCTTTTGTAATATTACTTTATTTATACAGTAAAAAGAAAAGAGAATGTTATTCTTAATTTCTTTCGGATAATCTTTTATATGTGTAAAAATTATCAACATAATTTTTTAGTGACAATTTTAGCAAAATGCCAAAAAGGAGACACCAGAACATATCTGCAGTAAGTAGTGATGAAGAAGACAGCAGCGATGAAAGTTATGAGGTCTCAGTGCCATCAACGAGCCACCGAGTTACTCACTCGCAAGTGACCCGAGGCTCTAAAACATCTAAAATCCTTCCTTTTTTATCTCAACCTGCTGACGTATCATCAAAACAAAGAGTTTTGACGCAGCTTGGGTCACAAGTATTTTGTCCGATTCATTTACATCCTAGAGACAGTGCTAAACATTGTTTTTCTATATTTTCAGTTGACAGACTTTGAGAAAGAGATTATCATCGACAAGGTCTTGAAGAGAATTGTATCAAAGTACCTTCTTACCCAGAAGACATTCAGGAAAACAGCCATGTTTTTACCCGAAGATAAAATTAAACCAAAACAGCAGGATTCACTGATACCCATGATCAAAGAAAAGTTGAAAGAGGTTGTGTGGTAAATTCTTTAAAAAAATACAGTTTTAAATTTATCGTTTGAACATTGCAGTATACAAAGCTCGAGCTGGTGACTGATGGTAGTAGATTCATGGTTTCGATACCAAAAGCGCTCCAAACTGAAATTCTGTCTCAAAATCATCCCAGCCAAAGCACAGAACATAAATCATATAACAGCGGAGACGCAGAGAATTCTTTATGCAGCCAACCGGTGCAACCACCAGATGATATTACTCACGTTTTACTCACTATAACTTTGGCTGTCATTTATTTCTACCGGGGAAAGATTTTAGAAGGTGATTTTGCAATCTTATAGCATTAGTTGTTTGTACATTTATTTTTTTAATAGTATGCTTTGCCCCTTGCCTTAAAAATAATCCAAATATAGTTTTCAATATATAAAATAGTTCAATGAAAGACAAAAAAAAATTAAAGAAAATATACAGTAAGTTGTACAGTAAGACCCTTAGATAATTTCAGTTATTGTAAGGATAGGTGATCTGATTTTTTTTTTTTTTTTTTTCAGTGATTTAATTTTTGTTTTGTCGATTCAGTTGTTTTTATATTCTTTCAACTTGTATATTTTATTAAACTACTATATTTCTTTTCCTTAGTTTAGTTTTTATGGCTAATATCGCTGTGTACAGAGTTTAGCCTGTCACTTCTTTCAGCCTACCGGCAATGCCATATTTTGTATTAATAATAAATCACCAGCAGGCCGTGAGAATCACTCACCTCAGGTTTTGGCAGACCTAGGTCAGACCTTGGCCTTACTCTTCAGGGTTGTCAACAGCTAGATCATTTCAGTTCCCAATGCAATCAATTTTTAAATCCAAACCCCTCTCACTCAATCTTCATATTCTTTCTTATTTACACATTCATTCAAATGGAGAACTCCACCGCCCTCTAAAAATATAAATAGTTTAATTGAAGGTCAATGGAGTACCCAACATTCCACCATTGGCCCTCTCCCACTGTACATTCACGCTTATAAATATATTCACTTTCAATGTACATTCCATTTACTATGAACAAAATAACCAACCTATTTCCAACAAAATCAGAACAGGGGACCCAAATACTGCTGTGCTCAAGGACCATTCTCACATTGTGTGGCTTTCCTACGTTCTCTTTATATGGAACCAAGATCTTCAATTAACTGAACCCTATCATGCGACCTTTCTTTACATCCAGGTCAGATGTGGACTTTGGTTCAAAAGTGTCCTTGTGTCAACTTTCCATGGTCTGTTCTTAATCAAGTGAGGATGATGCCAATGCTCTTGATACATTGGCAGTTTCTCTGCCAATCCAGCACGCTGACGTTTCACTTTCTTGTTTTTATTTTATTATGTATGTGAATGTCTGGATGTCGTCAATTTGATGTCTGGAATGTCATTTTAATTTTTAATTGTGTGATTTCTCCGTGTTGTCTGTAGGGTGATGAACCTGTAATTTGTACATTAACAATCATTTTGCTCTATCTAACCTGCTTAGTAGAATACAGAAAGGATAGGTAGGACAAAATTATCAGCAACGACCAAACTTTTGTGTGTACTTTGTTTACGAAGGTCCAGCCAGACAGAAAATGATCTGTCATTGCAGGAATCAATTCTATGGTCATTCTGGGGCTACCATATAGAACGTGATAGACTGCATTCCAGTCTAATCACTGTCTTCTAGAGTGGATGTAGTGTGTTTTCACAACAATATAAAAAAGAAAACAATGTAGTGTGTATGAAATTAATGAGAAGAGTGGCAAATTAAGGTTATACCACCACTAAATTATTTAACTATTTAATTACCTTCTAATTTGTACTTAATTAATGAAATAGTTGTTTGAATACGCATTTTAACTGTGTGCGAACTCATTCTGTCTCAAAGAATGAAAGGCAGTAAGGCAATCATGCAGGCAATCTTTGATTTTGTACCAGATCGCTTATCATCATGACAAAATCAGTCCTATTTGCATCCAGTTTGTCAGGGGTATTGCACATTGCACTAGTACAACTAGATCACCAGACCACCTCTGATATTGCAACAGATCGCTTTTTGACAGGTTCAGTCTTGAGTCCTGGTAGCACCTAACGGCAAAGGTACATGTTAAAAATGCCTAGTCCTAACAGTTGAGTCTTTAGTTTATTGTGTATGTTGTAGCCATTGTTTGCAATATTTTTTTTCTTCTTCCCACTGGTCAGTATTTATTTAAATCTGTACTGGGAACTAAGTACTGCAAAGACAATGCTGAAACACATTTTACATAAATATAAAAAGACGCAACTACATACAAAACAAAGCAGATTAATCATTGAAGTGACATATAATTAAAAAATTTTCTGACAGACTCAAAGCCAGTGAGAATTGTTATGCTAATCTGAAAAGACCAAACTGTAATTTTAATTGTGTTGCACTTCTTTTACACTAAAAAAACCACTTAACAATGTATTTTTCTATTATAATCAATTTAAAATTCATGGGCTCTGCCGGGATTCAAACACAGAACCATGTGTCAAATATGAGTTGGATACCTTAACCACTTTGCCAGAGTGGTCCCGTTTTTGGCACTAATTTATAACTTTGTTGTAATTTAAAATTCAGATATTATATTGTATGTATTTACAAGTTTTATTTTTTTTAGATGAACTTATAGAAAAGAGATTGCCTCAAATTCTACCAATTATTAACTCATTTTTCTTGTCGTCTAAAGATTTAACTAAAACCATGCAGGTGAATTAATAACTGTATTATTCATTAAACTAAAAACCAATTTTATAGTTTTGGTCATTTAATTTTTTTTCCCCCCAAAGGATTTTGAACAAAGAGCGTTCATCGAAAAGAAAATGTCAATAAGTGACCCAGAAAACCCACCAAAGGTTTACGTTTATTGGGGTTTTAGGGCCAAAACTGAAGTCGACAAGAAAATGCTTCTTCCTGTATATTGTCAGGTATTTTTAATTATGTGATTAATTAAAACTTTTGGATTGTACTTGAAATTATTTTATGTTGTAGCTTGCTGATTGCACAACCAATGATTTACCTTTATGGCTGAAGGAAGCGATTGAGAGTGATGTGGATTTTTAACGAAGGATTTTATTTAAAATTTGTAAATTTTATTAAACATTTAATTTTTTACCTTGTTTCTTTAAAAACTGTACATTTTTTTATTCAAAATGAAACATTTTAATAACTCTTGCATTTTTATACACCTGAAATTAAGTTTATAATAAACAATTATAAATTTAATCGTTTTTAAAAATGAGTGTGACACATATTGGGTTTAATGGTTTTACTTGAGTTTGACATTAATCGTGTACTGCTTCTAACGGAGTTTCAGATGTTGTGTAATACATTTGCACTCCGAGGTTGGGGATGACCTGGGCTGCTGCGTATTCTTTCCTATCCCCCGATAAAGTAGAAACAATTGGTGTATCGCATTGCAGAGTATTGTAATGTGTTAATAAATATTTCTTGCCAAATTCGTACAGCTGAAAACATTTTAATTATAAATTAGTTGATTTTTTAGATTTTTTCGTTATTGTAAAAAGTAACTTACATTTGGCGATTCTTTGAGCTGAGAAAGATCCGTTGGTGGAGGCTCGGCGAATAAACCATTTAACTTCTGCTTGTGAGCGCAAACTATGAACACTTTCAAGTAGTTGGTCCTCAACTCGCTTTTTGTGTTTTTGAGGAAATTCAGCCACTGAGAACCTAGAGCCTTTTCTAAAAATAAAAAAATTTAAAGTGGAAAAAATCAACAAAAACACCAATACAAATACCTTTGTATGAGACCAGTTTCATGACTAGCTTCTTCGCAAATTCATACAAAAAATCAAATTCCTTATCTGTCATCTTAGGTAATTTGTTTTGGAATTTTGTTGATCGGTATATATTTAATGTGTACTTTAACAATTTATAAACTAGGGATAACCAAAGTGTGTAAGAGACAGATGTTATGCATCACCAACACATGATCCTAGCTGATGAAAACTAGGAAGTATGTAAGGTTTTTTATCCAATAAATAAATTTTAAAAAAGCACAATTATTTGTGTATGAAAATTTTGCAGGATTTACCAAATTTGAATTGAATTTTGTTTATGTACAAATAATACAAAATTAATATTTAAATAGAAACAAGGTTTTACAATCTTATATTTATTTAGATTTAGATATTTATTTTTTGTTAGACCAAAGGCATGCACCATTAAAACAAGAATATATGTAGATACATACATGGACAAAAATAAAGTACAAAACAAAAAAAAACAAATCAATAACATAGTTATAAACCATTTAAATAAATAATCAGAATAATATAAATAATTCAATATATGAATTTTTTTACGCCTTTGAAGGTGGTTCCAAACAAAATTACATTATTTATTCTAGAAATTAATCTATCTGTAATTAATAATAGAAAATATAACATAAAATTGATCTCTTGAATAAAAAGGCTGAGATAGAAAAATAGAAGAGTTTATAACCAAACGTACGACCAAGTTTTTCAATGCTTGTAAAACCAATAAATACGCCTTAGTGTCAAACATAGGATTATTACTCCAAGACTTTGTCATAAGGGTACGCGGAGCAAAATGTTAATGTTAAGTGATGCAATAAGTCTGTGATATATTTATTTAACTTATTTATTATCTTTATTAATTCATTCTCTTTCTTATAAAAAGAAAATAATATATTTATTAACAATAAATAGTGTACATTTTATATAGCTTTTTACAGAAATAAAACAGTTTCTTGAGAATGGCACAGGATACCGAAATGGAAGATGGCTGTTATTTTGGTTAAAATACAAAGCCCTAAAAAATAAAAATAATTTTCCCATATAGAAAAAGAAAAAAGACCACCAAAGAAAATAATAAAAATAATTAATTTAAGGTAATAAATAAATAAACATTTTTACACATCCTGTATCCTTCGATGATTTTTAGTGCCATCTGATGCCAAAGATTTCTAAAAGTTTACAATTAATTAAGGTTTTTGTTGAGATGAAAAAAAGTTAATGGCACGAGAGGGATTCAAACCCATGACCTTCAGCTAGATACGCCGCTGCTGAGGTTGAGATGGGGAGTTGATGTCCGAGTGGATTGAGGTCACGATAGCTCAGGTGGTAGAGCAGCAGCGTATCTAGACGAAGAAAGTGGGTTCGAATCCCTCTCGTGCCATTAACTTTTTTTCATCTCAACAAAAAACTTAATTAATTGTAAAGTATTAATTGGTCAAGTGGACCACGAAATTAGTGAATTTGATTCTAAAAGTTTTTTTGTTTTTGTGCATTTAAAGCTTGAGACCTAACCAACCAGGTAAGTCATGATTGGTACTATTGCTCCTATATCAGTGACTTCAAAGACATTGGTGCCCAGGCCTCAATGCACCCTGTTAAGTGAGACAGCATATCAATGTGAAGACTTCTTGCAGCGGCCATGTATGTAAGGCAATTTCTATTTATTAGAAAAATTATAAGCCTAAGTATTTCCCTCTTACTACTCATAAGAGTGAATTTATTTTCCACATATTTCTCCATGTGACATATTACAGGTGTTTTACAATCTTACAATATATTTATGGCCTGGTGTTCTAAATGAACTTACATTAAATTTACATTGTTCATTCCAGAAATTAATACATCATAATTAATAACAGAACAAATTATAACATTAATTTATAATTTAATACATTATATATTAATTACTACAATAAATAATGTACGTTTTATTTATTTATTTTTTTTTTTTTGCCAGAAATAAAACCGTTTCTTGAGAATGGCACAGGAAACCGAAATGCCATATGGCTGTAATTTTGACTAAAACACAAAAGCTTAAAAAAAAATAAATTTCTCATCTATAAAAAGAAAAAAAGGACAACAACAAAGAAAAGTTCATAAATAAATCAACATTTTTACACATTGTCCTGTATCCTTTGATGATTTTCAGTGCCATCTGACGCTGAAGTCTTCTAAAGTTTTTCTAATTTTTTTGTGCATTTAAAGGTTGAGACCTAACACATAAGTCATGATTGGTGCTATTGCTCATTTATAAATGACTTCGACATCGGTGTCCAGGCCCCAATGCACCTTGCTGAGCGAGACAGCATGAATGTGAAGACCTCTTGGAGCAGCCATGTATGTAAGACAATTTCTATTTATTAGAAAAATTATAAGATTGTCCTATTGTTTTTTCCTCTTAACTAGTACAACTAATAAGAGGGAATTTATTTACGACATGCTCCATGTGACTTACGTGTGTTTTACAATCTTTGCAATATATTTATAAATATATTTCAAATATAATTAAATCTTATTGGGTAAATATCGAATATAAGGGGCGTGGGTGTTTTTAAAGAATTCCCATTTTTTATGTTGTCAATAGTTTTTGTTTAAAAATGATTTTTCAATGTTAAAAATGTGCTGAAACTCTTTTTATGTTTGTAATGCTAGAAGAATTCTTTTTCCCGCCCACAAAGTTACATCTACTTGACATTTCAATTTAAAGGCAGGCACAAAAAAATCAATAATCGATAGTTGTAGATATAATTTTGAATTTGAAATTGCGTAGATATGAAGTTGAGAGTATTAAAAGTGAAAAGAGAAAGAATCGTCTTGGCAGGTCGGGTTAGTAGCAGCTGTTCTGCAGGGTTCCATTTAACTATTATATCCAGTCCAAGCGAAGTTGTTCTGGGCACCGCCGTGACAGTCTCCAACTCGGGAATGGCTGCCGATGTTATTAACCTCTGCTAAGATTTCGCGTCCGTCGTAGTTGTTATGTCTGTATCGTTTTGATTCGTATGAGTTTAGTGCCGTTTCTCGGCCTCGACCTTTGACTAATTGTCATTCGAATCGGTTTTAAATTGATATTATGTGAAAATAAATAGGGTCCAGATCAGTCGGCCTTTTGTTTACCGTTTGGATCGAGTGATTCTGATAGTTGACCGGTTGTCACAGAAGATGTCGACGACGACGATGACGACGACTCCGCCGCCGCCGCCCCCGGTTTCGACGCCGGCGCCCGCCCCGGCCACTTCGCCGACGATGGGGAAAGAATCGCCTCTGAAGAGACAGCTGAGGGACCGGAAGGAGAGGAAGGCCTATGTCGACGATTGGGCGATAGCCGAAGACGAATTGGAAGGTAAAAGGTCATTTTGCCTCCAAGAGAAACTCAATTCCGACGCTTACAGTCAGTCTTACGTGAGGGAAATGAACGGAGCCGACTTCTCAGTCACTTACCTTCAGAGACACGGCTTCAACACCCCGCTTCTCTTCAAGGAGAAGATCGGCTTAGGACTTCACGTCCCGAGTCAGAGTTTCACCGTCAACGACGTGAGGACGTGCGTCGGTTCGAGGAGGACCCTCGACGTCATGGACGTCAACACGCAGAAAAATTTCGAAATGTCCATGAAAGAATGGCAGAGGTACTACGAAGACCCTAACAAGGAGAAACTCCTCAACGTCATATCCTTGGAGTTCAGCCACACGAAACTGGAGAATTACATCCAGACGCCTTCGATCGTACGACAGATCGACTGGGTCGACTGTGTCTGGCCGAGGCATTTGAAAGAAGCTCAGACTGAATCTACCAACGCGATTGACGAAATGTTCTACCCTAAAGTTCAGAAGTATTGCCTTATGTCGGTGAAAGGTTGTTACACCGATTTTCACGTAGACTTTGGAGGTTCGTCCGTTTGGTACCACATCTTAAGAGGTAGCAAAGTCTTTTGGCTCATACCGCCGACAGAGCACAACATAAAGCTTTTTGAACAGTGGGTGCTCTCTGGGAAACAGAGTGACATATTCTTTGGTGATACCGTGGAGAAATGTAGTAGAATCACTTTAATGGAAGGGCACACATTTTTTATTCCAACGGGTTGGATTCATGCTGTATACACTCCAAAAGACTCGCTCGTTTTTGGTGGAAACTTCCTTCACTCGTACGGCATCGATAAACAGATAAGAATAGCTACTGTCGAAGAGACTACCCACGTTCCTCAAAAGTTTAGATATCCGTTTTTTACAGAAATGCTATGGTATGTTTTAGTCAGGTATGTACATGTCCTTTTGGGAAGGTCGCACCTGAGAGATTGCCCTGAAGCCGAACCTCCTACCAAACATATCCATCTTACCGCTCTCGAACTACACGGAATCAAAGCCATAGTCACTTACCTTCATTCTCTGCCTACCAACAAAAAGAATATCCCAGAACTCATTGTCGACCCTGTTGCCCTTATCAAAGATGTGAGGACGCTCGTTGAACAGCACAGGCATGACATACCAGAGTTTTCAGTGACGGGTTTCCCCGTATTATGCAATCCGGGGATTAAATACAGTGAACGGAGATTACCTTTGATGAAGGGTCTCGGCATGGGACACGGTAAAATGAAAAGGCTCGGCATGAAAACCCCTTCCCTCGGTGCTAAAGCCAAAACAAAAGCTGGTCCCAGGCGCCGCAGGACGAGATGCAAAAAATGTGCCGCTTGCCATCAGAGTGACTGCGGAGAGTGTGTATTCTGCCAAGATATGGTCAAATTCGGCGGTTCAGGCCGAGCGAAACAAACTTGTATTATGAGACAGTGTCTTCAGCCTATGCTTCCTGTTACAGCTGCTTGTTCTGTCTGCGGTTTAGACGGCTGGGGCCAGCAATTGGCTCTTCCTGTCCACAAAATGGCCAAGGACGCTCCGAGTTCGTTGATGGAATGTTCGGTCTGTTATGAAATTCTTCATCCCGACTGTGTTGAGAAAATTTGCCCAGAGCATAAAGGACAAGTCAACGAAGACCTGCCTAATTCCTGGGAATGTCCCAAGTGTGTACGCGATGGAAAAAATACCGAATATAGACCGAGGCATTTTAGAGCGCGTAGAAAATGGGACCAGAGGAGAAAATCTGCAAATAGTGATGGCGGTCCTCCTATGAAACGAGGTCATAACGAGTTTTCCGACAGCGACAGAGGGGACAGCGATAGTGACATGGATGAGAAAAAAGTGCAGTTGTTGAAAAACGAAGACGAATTGAAAAATGAAGATGACAACAATAGCTCTGGCCGTTGGTCTGACAAACAAAATGACTCTGCTATCGCCCAAAGAAGAAACAGTGTAGATTCCGATTCAGCTCCATCAAGTCCTCCCAACTCACCCACACCTTCCTCATAATTTCCATAAAGACCTGAAGCATGTGATAACTATATAAACTCTTACCCAGATTTTTCCATGTACTATTATATACTATTGATCTTCTACTGTAAATTAGTTATCATTACTATAGCTGTATATAACACCGGTTTTCTTTTTTAGTATTTTAATGTTTTGACTAATTATTTACTGTATATTACAATGCTTTAGCATTTATTAGTGGTTCAACAATTCAATAACCACACTCAATCACAAAAAATTATTATGAACGTTTCCTAAAATTTTTAAAATTATTTATTTCATTAAAAATTCTTTTAACAAATGTCTTTTTTCTACTTACTTTTTTTTCTGGTAGTATAAATGAGAATCTTGTTTCCTTTGGTCGACTCAACTGATTGATAAAGTATTTCACATTATAGATCGTTACCATTAAAATAGTGCTATCAATGTGCTTTTCATTTTTAATGTGTATTTTTTTGTACTTTTATTATTTGCTTAAAATTTTTGCGATGGAGTTATGTTTGAAAGAAAGAAAAAATTGTCAAGACAGTTTGAAAATAAAGTTGTGTGTTTTTTATAATTATAGTTATTATATATAAATCAATGAAACAAAATAATGAGTAGAAAGCAAAATTGAAAGTTAGTGAAGCATTCTTTGACTATGTGATGTGGAATTAATGACTTTCGTGCTTATTATAAATGACTATTGTTTAAGACCTTTTTAGATTTACAAAAAAGTATTACACTATATTGTCTATTACTATATGGTTGTGTGCAAAATTAATCTCTGAATTGCTTTAATTTAGTTTTTAAGTTTAAATTTTATAGTGTGATAAAATTGATATACAGAGATGAGTACACCGATGAATGAAAGAACAAATCTAACAGCTATTTAGTTCAATTCCAATATTTTTTTTTTAAATAGTAATAAGATTAGAAATCGTTTTTATAAAATTAATTTAGTGATCGTTATATCAACTTATCTTCTTCATTTAAAAAAAAAATGAAAACATGATAAACATTAAAATGTGTTTTTATGAAAGCACTGTAAATTATTGATTAATGTAATGATCTGTAAATAAATATATGAACAAAACAGGCTCGGATTTTAAATGCATGATCAGTCCTGAGGCTTTGACTGCCAACCAAAAGAAATAGTTTTGTGGATTTCTAAATTATATTTCTTCCTGCATGAAAACCACAGATTGGACTGAAGTAATAATTCATTAAAAAAAACTGCATTAAGTACTTAATAACTAATTAAATTAATCCATATTTGCTTAGTGGTCATAATTGACCATATTAATTATTTCAATTATTCTTTTTTATCTAAGGTTTTTGGTTGAGATAAAAATTTATGTCACGAGCGGGATTTGAACCCTCGGCTCAATATGCCATTGCTGTAACTGCTTGAGTTGGTGTCCGAGTGGATCAAAGTCATGATAGTTCAAGTGGTAGAGCAGCGGCGTATTGAACCGAAGGTCAAGGGTTCGAATTTCAATCGTGACACTAATTTTTCACCTCAACCAAAATCCTCAGGTAAAAAGAATAATTAATATGGTTAATTATGACCACTAAGGGGACCTCGGTAGCCGAGTGGTTAGCATGAGAGACTCTCACGCCGCAGTCGTGGGTTCGATTCCCACCATCGCCTCTGGCCCTTTTTTCACGATAACCCCCCCAATTTGAACACACATATAAGAATTCGTCACCATGGCTAATATGCAAAGATCATAACACACAAAAAAAAAAAAAAAAATGACCACTAGTCAAATATGGGTTAATTTAATAATTAAAAAGAACTAATTACTAACAGCTTCCCATGGCCACTTCATAAATTGCTGAGAATCGAATCTTGATTACACGATATTTGAAAATATGGCGAAAAGAGTGAAAATTTGAACGGTTTAGGTTGAGATGGGGAGTTGGTGTCCGAGTGGAACGAAGTCACGATAGCTCAAGTGGTTAGAGCAGCGGCGTACTAAGCCAAAGGTCGTGGGTTCGAACCCATCTCAACCAAAAACCTTAGATAAAAAGGATAATTAACTGGTTTATTAAAATTAAATTGTAAATATTATTTCATTCCAAAACAACTCAATTTGTCATTGAACTTGTGAGAATGATTAAATTTATAATGGCTTATCACTGTTTGAATAAAGATGTCCGTTTTGGAGTTATTTACCAGTTTGTATTAGCCCAAATATAAATTGCAAGGTAAACATTAATCATTCCATGTATGTTTTGCAATAATAATTATTAATTTATCCAGTTAATTATTCTTTTTATGTAAGGTCTTGGTTGAGATGAAAAACAGTGACACAAGTCCCCATCTCGTGACATTAACTTTTTTATCTCAACCAAGACCTTAGATTAAAAGTATAATTCAGTCTTATGATTCTTCCTTCTTGAAGGTGGGATAATAGGTCATCTTGAGATGACCTATTATCCCACCTTCAAGAAGGAAGAATCATAAGATTAACTGTTGAGGTCAAAATATAAGAAAACATCATTAGTATAATTAAGTGAAATAATTAATATGTTCATTTATGATTTTACACAAATATTATGGATTAATGTAATAATTAAAGAAGCAATTATTTCGCTAACAGATTAACAGCCAATCCCTGTGGCCACTTCAACCTTCATTACACGATATTTGAAAATATGACAAAAAGAGGGAAAATTTAACAGGTTGCAGGTTGAGATGAGGAATTGGTGTCCATGTGAAAGGTCATGGGTTCAAATCCTGCTAGTGACACTAACTTTTTTATCTCAACCAAGAACTTAGATTAAAAGTATAATTAAGTGAAATAATTAATATGTTCATTTGCGATAGTTAAACAAATATTATGGATTAATGTAATAATTACAGAAGCAATTATTTCGCTAACAGCTAATTAACAGGCAGGCCACTTCATAAGTGCTGAGAATTGAATCCTGATTACACGATATTTGAAAATATGGCGAAAAGATGGAAAATTTGACAGGTTGCAGGTTGAGTGAGGAATCGGTGTCCGAGTGGAAGGTCATGGGTTCAAATCGTGCTAGTAACACTAACTTTTTTATCTCAACCAAGAACTTAGATTAAAAGTATAATTGATTGAAATAATTACTCATTCCTTGCCCATTCTTAATTTTTTTTTACAGTTATTTTGATATGCTATCCTTGCTACTTTAGCTTTTCTAATGTGTTTCAGCATTTTGTCATCTTCAGTGCTGGCCACTTGATTCTTCTATAATGCAAAACACACGACGAAAATGATTCTTGTCATACTGGAGGGGTTAACGTCCTACTTCCTCTTGGGTGTCGCAGACAAGGAATCAAACTACAATACTTTTTGCATATAATGATTAATCCTTATATTTATTAGTAATTGCATTAGTTGTTTAAAATGATTTTCCTTTTTATGAAAGGTCTTGGTTGAAATGAAAAAGCTAGTCACGCGTATGATTCGAACCCACGACCTTCAAATCAATACACCGCTGCTCTAACCACTTGAGCTTATGAATAATTAAAAAGCCATGTGCTGTGCTGGGATTTGAATCTAGAACAATTATGAGTCAGATATCTTAACCACTCGGCCACCACAGTTCCTCTATTCACACTTCAAATTCATATAAAATAATCGATGACGATGGAAAATTAAGAAGTGTGGTTTTATGTTCCCCAAATACAGCAGCCTTCTAGGTTATATCAACCCTCGGGTTCGGCGGATTCAAACCCAGGACCTTTACCTTACAGTGATGAGCGCCGTGTCAACGCCTAAACCGTTGCGGCACCGACGCCCCTTTCTAGCTTATTGTAATTTTTGTAGTTCCTTAGTTCAGTGCAATTGACTCAATCCTTTTCATAACATTCACACTGCCATTGGTAATAAAAACAATCAAAATGGTCATCTTTTTCTCATCTTACTCTTTTTATCTTTGAAATGAGCAATAAGAATTACATTTTGATTTAAAATTTTCAAAAAAAAAAAATACATTAAGTTCAGGAAAGGTCTAACTGAGGAATACATTGAAGGGTAGATAAAAAAAATTATTAAAATAAAATAAAAAATATACAGCACAAATAATAATAATAATAAAAACAATCCTCTATCCATCACCATTCATTTTCTTTCTTTTTGCACTTTTTGATTAAGTTAAAGTTGGGAAATAAATTTCGTCCAGGACAAACAGTTGAATTACTAAATTCCCCTTTTTTCGCACAGTCACCACTTTTTCCCCATTTAAGATAAATCTCTGCCTTTTGCTTTGATGTGTATTAAAGAAAAAGGTATGTTGCTAGATGCTTATTAAACAAAGAAGTTTTTATGCAATTTGCCAAGCCCTACTTTGAATTTTTCCAATGTGATTGCAAATTTAGTTTTTTAACAAATTTTAAATTTGTGTTAATTTTTTGAAAGATTTAGCTTTTTTAACCAAAAATTAAATTGACAGCTCTAGAAAGATTACAGAATAAAGCAAATTTAACTCTCTTTTCAATGTTTTTTTCAGATTTCGGAGTAGATTTATGACAAAACCCATAGATGGTTGTAAAAAACATAAAATGTTAAATATCTGCGAATGGGTTGAAAATCGGACCATGGTTCATACGAACTTTTTTTGTCACTCTGGAGGTGTGGCAAAGTTTGTGACACGAGTAGCTTGACACCCAGTATACAATACATGAAGAGTTTAGATGCTTTTCAATAGGAAGCGTATAAAAGAATGGTAAAAAAAAGAAAGTAAAAAAAAATTGGTGGTGCGCCATTTCTTCTTACCAGGGCAGTAGAGTTTGTCCAGATTTTTTTTCTCACAGAAATACTGTGTAGGACCAAATATGTGTCCACAGTAGAGATTTAATTTGCAATGAGCGACTTTTAGAAATGAATAATCATAAATGTTTACACAAAATACATATTCATAACTGAGAATTCATGTATGACGACCGGCCTATTTGTGTTGTGACATCATTGAGCATGTATACATTTTTTCATATGATTGGATACGAGTGAGAAAAACTGTACCTACATAGAAAAGTGCATAAGGCATTATCATTTCTCATCTGAGGATTTGATACCTTTATTTAAATAAAGAATGATTTTTGTTTGACAAAATTAATTTATTGGATAATTGGAATAAATTCATTCAGTGTTCACCGAGAAATGTGATTTCATCAGAAAATTACACCACAATCCATTTAAAAAGGTGCCTTGTTTTTCCTCTGGTGTGTCCAAAAAATGCACCAATCTATCGTAGACAACTACACAAGAAATGGCATTTCTTTAAAACATTCAACAGCTTGCAGATGAAACCAACAAAAATTCACAAATTGTTTTATTCATATTCAACTCTCTGAATTCCAGCTTGTACCTATTTTCTCACAGGAAGTCTATGATTATGCAGACACAAGTGAAAAATGCGTTCTGTCTATAATAATGAAATGATATTAAAAAGACATAATAATAACTATATTAGTTTATCTTATTAACTAACATAAGTGCTTATTCTCATTTTTTATGATTAGTATTTATATATGTTGTACCCTGCATATTTTAATTGTTTTTGCATTTCAATGCAGAGGGTTCAATTACCTTTGCCTCGTAACTTTTATCTCTTTGTATTTTAGTTTGATAATTAGATTGATAAAAGATATAATTAAAAATAGGATTAATAGTGGTTTTGTCGGACTGATTACTCAGAAATTGAAATTAACTTATTAACATCCTCCATTTATTTTATGTTTCTGAGGAGTCGTTTTTTTTCTTGTTTGTTTATTACTTTTATGTTTTAACTATAGTCTGTAACGTTTATTTTATAGTTTTTAATTGATATGAATATTCTTTGATCTTCAGTGTTCCAAAGACAATGGCCGACGTGCCGTTTACATTTTGCAAACTTACAAAGGGGCACAATAAAAAAAAATAACACAGAACGGCGAAACGACGAAACTCATCTGACAGATCAAACCAGCGAGAATAGACGGGCCAAATTGATAAGAAACGACCTCAAGAAAGCTCACAGATCGCAAAATGTTACCGTCGAACCAGTTGAATTTGAAAAGGAATTTTTTCATAAAGGATTTTTACGTAGTGAGCTGCTTAACCGTTGGTCTGGAACATTTATGTTTTTCATTTGGTCTCTTCAATCGGGCCGAAAAACAAATAAGCACGCAGCGTGTTTCGATGGTAAATTCTTCAATTCCTGGTAACTGTAAACAAATTCAATCGACAATATTTGAACCATTTGGTTCCGCTGCTTGTTGCCATCTTCCATGTAATTTTTTACCCGTGTTTGTTTTCTTCAGCCGTGTAGTGAAGTAAAGTTTTTCCAATTGATAGAGCTTTGCAAAGACCGAAATGAGTGAAAAAAGGAACTATGTCACGTCTGCTGGGAACCACATCCCCGTCAAGCTCCAACAATTTCTTTTTATGTCTATTTATTAGTCAATACCGGTCATTTTTGGTCAATTGCTCACTTTAATCGTTTCTATTGTGATAAGGTTACACTAGACTTGGGCAAAATAAGCTTACTATTTATTTAAATTAATTATTCTTTGCATGCAAGGTCTTGGCTGAAATGAAAAAGTTAGTGTCACGAGCGGGATTCGAACCCATATACGCCGCTACTCTACCACTTGAGCTATCGTGACTTTTTCATTTCAAGACCTTACATATAAAGAATAATTAATTAAAAGAAGTTATTTGTTCAATCAGACCACTAAATATCATGGACTTGTTATTTATAATAAGTTTTATAGCAGCACTCCCTTCCAATCCCACCGAATGCACATTACTTCTTAGTTTATTTAGAAATCGTGAGATGCGGTCTGGTGTGATGTAGGTTTCAGAAAAACATTTTCTTTATCGTGCCAACGTTTCGATCTTTATTGAGATCATCTTCAGGGCCTGGGATTTACACCAATCATAATCACCACATATTACTTCTTAGGATATAGGAGTCGTAAACGGTGGGTCGCTGCGTTTTCCCCAGGATTTTAATCTACATTGTTTTAATGGACTCACTTTCATTCCCAGTTATCAATCTTTTCAAAAATGTGTCGTTTACACTATCGAATTCAATTTTATAAATGAAAAAAAATGCTAAACTATATTTTAAAGATTGTACTATTGGTATGTTGTTGGTTCCGCTGATTTGAAGGACTTTCGGTCAAAGGGATACGGTTAAATCGGAAAATGGGAAAAAACCGTAATCAGATTGCACCCTTTCTAATGCCGGGCCGTTACCTGGAGCAAGGCCCATTTCTTGACCGAGGTAATAATCGACTCTCCATCCCGTGTTCCCGTTTTTATAATAAAATGGGCAGAAAGTGGTTCTGTACGTGAAGAGAGTCACATTCCCCCTCTTCACTGTTTTCCTCCCTACTCTGCAACATCTTTTCTTTTCCTTGCCCTCCTTCTTCTAGTCTTTACTCCTTAGTGCCAGCTCTTCTATTTAGTATTTACGATACGCACGTTGCCCCACGCGACCCTGTCCCAAACAGTTCTTGTGATGATCGACACTCGAGGAAAAAACATTTCTAAGCCTCTTTTTGTGGTTTTGTGAATTTTCAAATAGTGCAACCGGCCAACGAGGCGATGTTTGTCTTGTCTCCGATCCGCTCTGGTGTGATTATCATTATGATGGAGTATGGAATGCGATAGACTCTCGTTCTGTTACCCTCCTTCTTGACTTAGAAGACAATTTCATCTGCCGTCCTCGAAGCCGAAACCGATTGTTGAAAGGCAATCCTTTGTAACATTTAGAAGAGTCCCAACAACTTCTACAGGCGAGTCGATCTCTCTTTTTCACTCATGTCCTGATTTAAAAACTTGTTTTCAGTTAATCTTAACAATTTACCTTCAAAACTTACTTCAATTTCTCTTAACGATATCTAATTTAAAAAATAAATCTATATCAAAAGACGCAGTAATATCATAAAATAAATTGTAGCCGTACTTCAAAAAATAATGGTAGATTTGGAGACTTTAACGTCAAAAGAAAGTAGATGTCTTTCTGAAATTGTTTATCTTTTTTGTCCAAATCTTACTGTTTATTATATTGCATAGACAGAGACAATGAAATATAATAAATAATAAGATAAAAAATAAATTTATGTTTTCCTTTCAAATAAACAAATAGAATTATGCAGTCTGTCAGGCTTAAAAACTTACTGGAATATGCACTTGTCTCATTTAGCCAAAATTTGATTTATCCAATTTTGCCCTTAGGGTGCTAAAATTATTACATAGTAAGTTAACAATACTCCATAAATGGTGTTTAATTTGCCGATTGATATAGAATAGATATTAAAGAAATTCCATCGGAACAATTATATTTTTAAAATGGTAAATGTAATTTTAGCCTTGCATTTTGTAACAAAATAAGTATTTTAATATGTTTACAAAATAAGTTTATTTTAATAAAAATGTAACAAAATTTTCGACCAAAGGCTTTACAAGTAATTGTTTTAGCACTCTGTTGAACTATTGAATATTCAACAGTGCAGAACCGGCATAGGGTCAATTATTGGGTTTGTCAAATTACTCAAACTCATTTCGTCATTGAGCCATCTCCAGCGAGGGATATTCAACGATATTCTTCACCACGATCTCAATCTGTCAACTGTCCGCTCCCCTATCAGAATCCATTACAGGCGATTTCACAGAAAATTACAGGATCGCTCTAATACAATTACTCCGTTCCCCACAATTACCGCGACTGAAAACGGATATGAAACAGAGATTTTTTCAATTATTCTGGACTGGCTGCTCTATAACGCCGACTCAATGCCATTGCGAATAACAATAAATAATGCACAATATTTTAAATTGTGTGAATTTGTTGATTTAAAAAGAATGAAAAATAACAGTTGACATACTTGAAAGTAATTAATGTACTGATGATATACTATAAAAAATATAGGCATATAAAAAAATACTATCATATAAGCATATGAATTTTCTCAGAAAATATTAGCATTTGTATTTGATTGCAGAAAAAACTTACCTTATATTAAAATAAAGATTATTCAAAGATGAAAGTATACATAAAAAAATAACGTTAAAATGTTATACTTCAAATTTACATATAAGAGTATAAAGAAGAACAAACAATGTTGAAGCTAACATAAAGACCATTTAGTTTCTAATAATTAAAAAAATTAGTTATTTGAAACACACACATAAAAACATACAAAATTACAAATAAATAAAGGTAGTGAAATATACGTCACAGGAGCGAGTATCTGGTTCCCTCATTCTGATATTTGGAAGACACAAGTTGTTTTATTATGTACTGTTGTTTTGTGTCGTTTAGGGTATGTTGAGAGTGAACATATTTTTTGGCATAAATGTGTAGTGTGAGAGGACCGGTGGTGGAAATTGGGTACCCCATCAACCCTTGATTAGGTTAGTTATTAATTAGGTGTTAAGAGTATGTATATCGAATTCTCCACCACCCTAACTGAGAGAATAGCATATAAATATGCATAATATTTAAGTAATTAAGGTTTTTAGTTGAGATAAAAAAGTCAATGGCATGAGCGGGATTCAAACCCACGATCTTTGGCTTGATACGCCGCTGCTCTACCACTTGAGCTATCGTGACCTCGATCCACTCGGACAGCAACTTCCCATCTCTACCGCACCTTTTGAATTTTCCCTCCTTTTTGCCATTTTTCAAAGAGAATCTCTTTTTCAAGAGAATAATATTTAAGAGTGAGTAAGAGGGTGAATGGGAGACATTGAGGGCTGAAATAACCTGGCTGTAGACAGCACCCAGAGCCCAACATCGGTGGTTGTATCACAGCGGTTTGATCCAGACTACCAACACTCGGTGTGGGTGATTCTTGAGGCCTGCCAGAAATTTATTGAAAATCACGAAAGCTGGAATTGCCGGTGGACTGTGAGAAATGATAGGCTCAATTCTGTACAACCACTAATGTGTGTATGTGCCTGTGCAGATTTGAGGTTATTGCATCTTTTTATTAAGTTGTTCTAGATTCAATATCACGATGATTAAAATTAAAAACTAAATACGCAATGACATCCTTTATTACATAATGTTTACAAAATGTTATACAAAAATGATCATGAGCACAATTAACATTAATTATGGAATGGATGTTGCAACATCGGTACCTTGGAGTGTAGACGAGCTTCTTAATACTCAACCAAACAGGACAAACGACTGTACTGCACTGAAGTGACTACTGACTACCCTTTCTTTTTTTATTTTTCCTTTTACACACGTCCTGCGAGGAGAGCTTAGCGTCGGTGTTTCCACCGGGCCACTTTAAGGTTATATAAATTAGTAATCAGTATAAACTGAACAAAATAAAATGTAGAAAATATGTAAGTATAAATCATAAAAATTGTATCAACCTTATGTATGAGCAGACATAAAGATATTTAAAATATAAGATAAAAAAGAATTGGCCTCTTTACCACCTTATGCATCATGACCAGTATTGGTCTATTTGGCAATCTGCCTTATAATTTAGAGATCTTAATAAAGCTAGGCTTTTTATCAAATTGCAAAATGTTAAAGGACCCTTGTGTGTTTTTTCTTCTCCTAGAGGTGCAAATCTCAGCTTATATAGGACTTCGTACCAGCAGAGGACACTGTTTCTTCTTTTTCCTGGCAATATCTGCACAACTTGTTTCTGTTGATCCAAGTCTATACATATGCCTCTGGAGTGTATTAGTTTTTTGGGTTTGGGTACCTCTTTACAATGTTGAGCACCGCGACCATTATTGGTGTATTGTGCAATCTCCATTATTAGCTAGACCTCCTCATTAAGCTTAAGGCTTTTTACCAAATCTCAAAGTTTTGTTACGGACTCCCATGTGTATTTTTCATGCTTGGGCTTTTCCTCTCCCAGGAGTAGGAATCTCGACCTGCATAGGCCTTCACACCAACAGAGGTTTCACCATTTCTTCTTGAACTAGATGAACAATGTATCTATTCTATATGCCTTCAGAGTCTGCAGTGTCAAGATCCTAGGTTTAACAGTTCTTTTAGTTTTTGCTCAATGAATCTTTATAATCAATAAATTAACCAAGAAGTGGTTGAAGTGAGGAGAAGTCAGACTACTTCTACCTAGGCCACTAAACAACATACATTTGAATCAAGTTTGAAAACTTAATATGTAGATATTTTAATGGAGAAACTTATTCTTTGGCCCCTGCGTTAAACAAGTAGGAACTACTACATTTTTAAAACCAATTTTAATATAGTGTTGATAAATAGTGTCTTTTTTGAGCTAATATTATGAGTAATTGTTTCATTCCAAATGCTTTTTAAGGTCAGCAATTCAACAGAAAATTTACATACATTATTTTTATAATTTTACATCTATCAATACTAGTAAAAGTATGATGTATAATCTAAGAATAATTGTCAATTAAACAGCACATGAAACAAAGACAGAAGTATAATGAATGAAATAAATTGTTTTATTATAGATGTTTTCATGTAATGTTGGAAGAAGAACTTCGTAGTGCAGCAGCCAGGGGAATTCTTGACGATGTAAATTCACTTCTCAAGAGAGGTGCCAACTTCGCCCCCGATTCTGTAATTTTATTCAGATTAAAATTATTTTTTGTAACAACTAGCTAACTGTTTTTGTTGATTCTATCGCAGTGCGGGCGGACGCCTTTGCATTTGGCCTCAGCAGCAGGTTTTGCAGATGTTGTCGACCTATTGGCAAACCCGGAGAATATAAATGATGTGGACGCTGTAAGAGAGATAAATTTATTTATTTGTACATTTTTTAGTGGAAAATGTGACATTGATTTGTACTTTCTAGGTTGGCAGAACATCGCTGCAAATAGCAGCTACTGGGGGACACTTGGAAGTTGTTAGGATTTTGTTAAAAAAGGGGGGAAATCCAAATCTGAGAGATGAGCTTGTAAGTGCAGACATATTTTAAAAATAAAATTGGAAAAAAAATGTATACTAAAAGTCCTTTTTTCATCAATGCTCAAATGACTTTATATTGCATTTTTCTACTATATGTGGTTTGAATGACATATTTTTTCCAGCATGGAAATACACCAGTGCATGAGGCTAGCTGGCACGGTTTCAGCCAAACTGTAGCACTTCTTGTGAGAAATGGAGCCGAGTCTGGAATTAAAAACATCGCTGGTTTTGCCGCTATCCATCTTGCTTGTCAGAACGGGCATAATCAGAGCTGTCGAGAACTACTTTTAGCTGGGGCTGATCCCGACATTCAAAATAATGTAAATAATTCGTTGTCAATAATTAAATGAATTTTTATAATTGTTCACTTTTTGCTAGTATGGAGACACAGCGCTTCATACGAGTGCTAGGTATGGGCACGCAGGCGTTGCAAGGATCCTTATTAGCGCATCATGCAGAGTTTCGGATCAAAATAAAGTATATATTTGTAATTGATTTTTTTAATATATTTTTAAAAAAATTTATTTGTGCAATTTTTGCCAGAATGGTGATACTGCTCTGCATATTGCTTCAGCAATGGGGCGAAGAAAATTAACTACTATTCTGTTGGAAGCAGGCTGTGATAAATCAATAAGAAACAAGGTAATTATTTAAAATATGAATGGATTTTTTTCTCCTCTGGTTTATTATTTTAAGGTTAATGGTAAATAAGACGTTTTGCTTTATTGTATTTAGAAGTGGTTTAATTGCATTTAATGCGAAATATCCACAAGACAAAGGTTTAATAGTGTGGATATTTCAAGCTAGTCCCTTGATTGCTTGAAAAAATGATAAAACAAATTTTGTGGAAATATCCACTTCAAGAAAGCCCACTGGCTCTAGGTTTTAATTTTTTTAATTTTTTTTATTTAGCAATATGAAACTGCTTGTGATATAGCTACTCGCAAAGATCTGAATGAGATAATAATCATTCTTCAGAGTGTGAAGCCTCAAAAATCTTCTAAAAAGAAGTCTAAAAAAACAAGCGAAACGTCCGATTCTGATAAAAGAAGCAGGGAGACGTTGGTAGGAAGACCTCACGACCCAGTAAGTAGAATTTAATCGTTGCGATACAATTTGGTCACACTGTCTGTGGAAGTATTTTTTCCCGTGTTTAAAAAGGTGTAATTGGAATGCATTCCCCTAGTTCACAGTTGGACGATTTTGTTAATTCTCTTCGAGATAGCTCTGAGAAGGTTTATTAAAACAATGAAACAATTTACATATACTTCCCACATAAGTTTCTACATGATAATTGTTGCTTTTAGCAATTACTTAACACAGATTTGTGCATCAAAGTGATAATTTTAGATAAAAATTGAATATATTATAGCCACTTAAGTTCATGATGTTGACTTTTTGTTTATTTATTCATTATCACTTCTATTTTAAAATAAACTTCTATTCCTTTCAGAGAGCATGTGGAAGCAGTGTACGCTGGTCACCATACGGTTGTCATTATTACCCTGACCCAAAAGCATTTCCTCAGCCTAAACTAGATTCTTTACCAGGAGAACCACTCTCTAAAGGAGAACAATATTATCTAGACCTTGCAGGAAACATAAGAAAAGTTAATACTTAAATTAAACATTTTTTATTGCTTTTAACAAATCAGATTATTTGAATTTGATTGAATTGTCTCACAGGGTCCGGTTGGTGTCGGTTTAACCTGTTACTGCACGAATTTCCTTCGAGATATGGAAGCTAGGCTAGAAAGAAGTAATGAGGAAATGAAACAGCGGATAAGATCTGCTAGGTGTCATTTAGAAGAGCGTGTTGAGAGGACAGAGGGTCTTATTGCAGAATGGCTAGAAGAAGGAAGAGGAAGAAGTAGAAAAAAGAAAAAGAAAAAAAGCAGAAGCCAAAGTCTCGATCTTCTCGAAAACACTACAAAAGCTGACAGAAGTAAGTAACTTTAATTAGTACTTATTATGCTATAAATATAAAATGATAAATCACTTGTTATTATAGAGGAAGAGAGTGACAAGAATGAAGAAAAGACCTCTTTGTTTGTTGATCGTAATGAGGAAATGGCTGAAGTAGAGGAGACTCTGAAAGAACTATCTGTTAGGGCTGAACAAGAAGAGAACAAAAATAAAGCTTTGGATGGAAGCCTTTCACTTAGTGCAATCAATTTAGTCAAAGCTAGTGACGAGGAAAAAGTCCTGGAACAGCTTAAAGAGGCTGAAAAAAGCCCTTTAGGTCTAAAACATAAAAATGTAAAATCTAAATTCCAAGAAGACAGAGATATGAAATGGGATACGTCTTCGTACTCAGGAATAGAGGCTCTTCCTTATAGGTCAAGAGTTGCTGTTTATAACCCAGCATTTTCTGGTTTCACAGGTAATCTTGGAACAAGAAAAAATACTGACAAATGATGCATATCCTGCTCTGTTTTTTTAGATAGGCCAGAACTGGACATGATGAATAGTCAAAGCTCATATTACGTGCCAGACACTGTAAATAAAAGTGAGACTCAAGAAGGCCATATAGAGATCCAAGGTTCAAATTTAGTATAGATGGGTTTTATTTATTATTATTGTTATTCTAACAAATAATATATTAATTGTTTACAAAAAATATAACAATTTTTTATTAAACAAAAATAAATGTTGGTCTATTGTTTCTTTTCTCCCTGATCATTTAATTAAAATGTAAAATACTTATTTATTCTTTAATGATTTTATGTTTTCAATGTTAGCCAGAATAGTTGTAGTGTATCATATTTTTCAGTGGAAGAGAATCAAAAATTCCTAGGGTGTCAATGGGCAGAAAGTTGCCTTGAGAATTATTTTATAAGAGTATTCTAAAGTAATTTGTCTTATTTAATAACACGTTCATGACACCCAACGGATAGTTGGACATAATTTTATTTATGGTAGCCTTTGGAGGATCTAAAAAATGGTCATCCTCACCGATTAAGGATAGCCCGTGTGAGGTTGACGCATGGACACTTACTTTTGGGCCAAAACCCGCCAAACCTGCATCGTAGAGAGTGCATAGGAATGCCACCTGAGCATGGCAGTGAGTATCTAGGCCCCCTATTCTAATTCTTGGAGGAAATGGGGTTGTATTATTGTATAGTGCTATTGTTGTGTACCCTAGTGTTTGTAGAGAATGAATGTATTTATTAGCATAATTGTGTAATGTGAGAAGGTTGATAGTCCCTCAATTAGGTTAGTCAAAAGGGTAATGGAGGAATATTGAGTTGAATATTGTAAATATGTAAATAAAAAAGAAGGTATTTAAGAGTGTGGATGGGTTGGATTTGGAAACTGATTGATTAGGGGCTGAAATGACAAAGCAGTTAATAGCCCGTGGAGCCAAAACTTGGTGGCTGATGGTATTGGCTGGGTTGAGTGTATATAAATCAGTAATCAATTGGTAATTTTATTTATGTTTACAGATACATACACAAAATAAAACATAAGCCTAAAGCTTTCTATTGCTGCATTACATTACTTACAATGCTTGGCTACAAAATGAATTAACGTATGATATACATATGACAATTTCATCATTATTTTACCGATAACAGCCAGCAACTCAGCTGGTTTTAAACCTAACGTAAAACTGAAAATCATCCATATAGAGGTGATATTTGGTACAGGGGTGAGAGGAGGATATATCATTTATGTAAAGGGAAATGGTCCAATGATTCACCCTTGAGGAACATCTCTGAGCTAAGGTCTCAGTGAAGAATTAGAGTTTTAAAATGTTTTCATAATTAATTAATTTTTTTCACTACTTGTGAATAACACTCAAAATCAGTCTTAACCAGATATTTCTCAGTGCTTTTCTTTATCTTTTATTATTTATTTATTTTGTTTAATGAGGGTTTGCAAGAGCAGAGGTCATAAGTCAAAAAGGACTGTGCAAAGTAGTCCATATTCTATGCAACCCAGTTAAGCCTTGCGCTTTAATTATTTAATTTATAGATTTAATTCATTTGTGCCTTAATTGTTCAGTACTCTTAAGTGTATCTATAAAATTGACTAGCAAATTAAATTTATCAGCAGTTATAATTCATATCAGGTATAACTTTATTCCCGATAGTTGCATGAACACCTTGGTTAGTACATCCATACTAACCAGTCTGCATACCCACCATGACATATACAATTATAATCTACATAAAATAGGAGTTCAGTCATCACCACTATGCGAGATCTGCTATACTCAGGAAGGTATACACCACATCCTACTACAATGTCCCAAATACAGCACAGAAAAGAAAACTGACAAGGGCATCCCACATCAATCATAAAATTTTGAGTCAATTTTGACATTACCATGGCATATAGTGGAACATGTATTTTATTTTATTTTTACTTTAAGTATAAATATTTGTATATATGTATAGTATGAAGTGACCGTTAATTAATTATTATTTGGAGATCGTGAGATGGAGTCTTGTGTGATGTAGGTTTAGAAAAACATTTTCTTTATTGAGCAAACGTTTCGATTTTTATTTAGATCATCTTCAGGGCCTGAGGTTTACAAACATTGTTTAGATTATACATGTACACTAAGATGTGAAAATGAATTTATAAAATGATGTACACAATGTAGAAATTTTATGTTTATGTTGGCAGACGGTTAATTACCGTGCCGTGTAGTGCAACATGTATGCTATTTTATTTTCGTTTTAATTGTAAACAAAAGTATTTATTTCATATATTTACTGTTAATAAAAGTTTTCCACAATAAAAAAATGAAGTTTTGTCAGCAGAAATTTTAGGTTTATGTTGGCAGACGGTTAATTACCATGCAGTGTAGTGCAACATGTATATTATTTTATTTTTGTTTTAATTGTAAACAAAAGTATTTATTTCATATATTTACTGTTAGTAAAAGTCTTCCACAATGAAAAAAATGAAGTTAGTGGAACATGTATGATATTTTATTTTCATTTTAATTGTAAACGAAAGTATTTATTTCATATATTTACTGTTAATAAAAGTTTTCCACAATAAAAAAATGAAGTTTTGTCAGCAGAAATTTTAGGTTTATGTTGGTAGACGGTTAATTACCATGCAGTGTAGTGCAACATGTATATTATTTTATTTTCGTTTTAATTGTAAACAAAAGTATTTATTTCATATATTTACTGTTAGTAAAAGTCTTCCACAATAAAAAAAATGAAGTTTTGTTAGGGTAAGAAGTAACATTTAGTTGTACTTCAACTTTTAATCACCCATCAGTTGAAATTGTCTGGAACATGTACTATAGATGTAGATTGTAGAGTGCGCTATAACTACATTGTCAGCGAGAACCATAGCGGGTTTACGATCTTCCATTTTGGTGAGAGCTGTATATTGGTTTTTTCTTCTACTGTAGTCTCGTTTAGACCGCAATGGTAAGTTAATATCATATTTTTAATCATGTTCTTTCTTTTATTGTGAACGAATTTGGTTAGATTCCTTTAAAACTTACCTGTTAACGGCAGTTTTATGAAAGAGTTTCGTTCTAACCAAAAACCACGTGTGAATTTTAACTTCCAACTAGGTTGGAATCAATACCGAGGTTTTCAAACCGTATCAATTTGTAGGAGTTTTTTTTTTCGGAAAATGAATTTTTCCTGGATAAACGGATGAACTTTAAGAAACTAGCCAAATTTCAATTTTATTTTACCTCTCAATTTTGTAAAAGATAAATGACGTTTTGGTACTTTGGTATAGATTGTGTCTAATTTTGTACCGTGTATAAGGCATACTTGTGGCAGAGGCTGCCTCAGTCTACACTGTACTAACTAAAGTGAATTTTGATCTGCGCTAACAGGCTCAGTGGAGGCAATCTGGTGCCTTGTTCTGCCTCAGTTTTTCATTTCGTACCAAATAAAGTATATTATGAATTACTAATTCCTCCCTATCTTAACAACCAAAGGATGACTAAAGCAGCATAATGTGAATATAAGGCCCGGTTCATACAGAGGCGATTGATATGAGACAAATATGAAAGGGATGGAGGTAACATAAGGACCGTTGCTTTGTTCTGCCTCAGTTTTCTGTATTATACCAAATAAAGAACATTGTGAACTGCACTCAATCCTCCCTAACTTAACGAACCAACCAATATCTATAGCAGGGCCATCTGCATATAAGGATTAGGCCTCTTTCGGACAAGGCTGGAAGGCACGGTTCACGCGGTGGTGATTGGTATGAGAGGCAAATATGAAGAGGATGGAGGTAACAGGGACAGATGCCTTGTTCTGTGTCAGTTTTTCATCTTACACGAATAAAGTTCATTGTGAACTGCACTTAATCCGAATACAAGGCTTAGGCCTATTTCATGAGATGTTCAGTATTTTGATACTCTTTCTGTATGAAGGCACCTGACGGGACGTTGTGACATTCACACAGTTCATTTTGTATCAAGCAGATCGCTTTGACTGACAGACTATTTTCGTTTTATTCGCCTCTGTTACTAAAAAAATATAGATAACAAGTGGATAAAACAGACATTTTTGTAATTCTAAACTAATTTCATTAGATCAAATTTGAGCCATGATGTAAGACAGTTGACCCCTATTACACGGATAAATAATTGAATAATAGTTGATAGTTGAATAGTTGGATTCATGAGGAGCGGTGAAGAATGAGGTAGTTTAGAAAAAACACATTTTTCATTTTTTTGCTGATTCAGGTCATCTTCAGGACCTGGATGCAAACATATTTCAATTGGAAAAATTACAATACAGATGTAAATTTAAACTTTGTATCAAGTTTATACTCACATAAAGTGTGCTGCTATCCTTGTAGTGTCAGCTCTCCACAGAACACATTAAAGTAACATTTAAGAACCACAAAACAATACAGACACTTTTTTCTATAGTCAGACACAGCACTAACAAGCCTACAAATCCAAAGTAATTTAAAATTAATTTGTGAACTGTCCAGCTACATACATTGGAATTATATCGCAATATGTGTTAAAACAGAAAAAACAGCACATCTATGACTGTAAGGCACCAAAAATCAATCCCACAGCATTGGCCTCACACCATTTTGGAAAAAAACACTTTAATTTCGACAAAATACAAATACTCTAAACACTGGGGGAAAAAATACAAATGTAACTTTCTAAAAATGGTTTACATTAACAGAGACACTCACACAGCAATAATTACTGAACAGATGCATGCGGACTCAGCCGTAGCTACGCCAACATCTTAAAGCAAATAAATTATTAAACTTTATTTTTAGTTTTCCCTTCTTTTTTTTTATTTATCATCTTTAACAATCAACTTCCTTTCCAATATTGAATAACCCCTGGATCACAAATCCAATCCAGAAAATCCCCATTCACGACTTGCTTCGAGTTGAATAAAACCGCCTCTGATCAATGAAAATTTCACAGAGGTGCAGCATCCCCCCCTTTCACAATCATATAAAAACAACAGAAAACAAATTCGTGTTTCACAGCACTTTCACACAACCCAAATGATACCACCAATAGCACCGCACTTTATGTGAGTATCAAATACTTGGTTTAAAGTTTATATTTACATCTATATATCAATTTTATCAATCAACATTTTTGTAATTCACCCAGACCCTGAAGATGACCCAAATAAAGGTTGATACGTCGCCAAAAAAAAAGAAAAAAAAAGAAGGTTTTTCTAAACTACCTCATTCTTGACCGCTCCTCATGAATCCAACAAATTAGTAAACAACCAATCACCAAAAAAACAATTATTAGTATTAATATAATACTAATAATTATTAATAAATAGTAATTGAAGTATTTGTTAGAACCTTTCCACAGTTCTTTATAATGACAACATAACATTCCTTATTAAATAGGTGAACTCACAATTCTCTATTCGTACTTTTCAAATTAAACACCAATCTACCGCTTCACTCGTCCATTATAAAATATGCCTGAATAAAATGTCTGGATTTTTCACCCATTTGGAAAAGGGTCGAGAAAGGGATGGAAGAAGTGTAGCCATAACAAACAACCCTGTAATACACAATCAACTCGTCTGCTCCAGTAGGCCCAAGTGCATGCAAGTTTCAATGAGGAACAGTTTATTGAAGAAACCATTCTAATTTCCCAAGAGATGTTGTGATTATTTGTGCTGTTATCTTAAAAAAAAAAAGATTATGAAAGCTTTTCCAATAATATTTATATTCACTAATTTCGTGGTCCGCTTGACCAATCCAATATGATTACACGACATTTGAAAAATGGCAAAAAGGAGGGAAAATTAAAAAATTAGGGTTGAGATGGGAAGTTAGTGTCTGAATGGATCGAGGTCACAATAGCTCAAGAGGTAGAGCAGCGACGTATCTAGCCGAAGATCGTGTGTTCGAATTCCGCTCGTGCCATTGCCTTTTTTATCTCAATAAAAACCTTAATTAATTGTAATATATTAATTGGTCAAGCGACCACGAAATAAGTGAATTTAATGATTTAAAATGAAGTATTCACTAAAGCTTTCCGTGGCCATTTCATTTGTTGCCGAGAATCCAATCCGATTACACGACATTTGAAAAATGGCAAAAAGGAGGGAAAATTCAAAAGGTGTGGTTGAGATGGGAAGTTAATGTCTGAGTGGATCGAGGTCATGATAGCTCAAGTGGTAGAGCAACGGCGAATCTAGCCGAAGATCGTGGGTTCGAATCCTGCTCGTGCCATTGACTTTTTATCTCAACTAAAAACCTTAATTAGTTGTAATAATATTTATATACCCCAGATTTGCTGCAATTTCTGATTTAGCTTTGTTCTGCCTCAAATTTCTCGTACCAAAGAAGCCATTGTGAACTGCACACAATCCTCCCTAATTTTTATTAAATTACACCTTGATCTGCAGCATGTGGCTTTGTTCATTGTAATGATTACATAAACCGATCTGAAGCTGATTTATTCCTCTTCATTATATGAATAAATATACAAGGGTTTAGTTTTCCAATTGTGAAAGAATTTATTGAAATTAATTATAAATATGACATTGTGTATAACAATGTTTTTACTATGCTATATAATGTTCATTTGTTTTTGTTTTGTATACCTACTTTGTATTATTTTCTCACATAGTTTTATGATGTTTCATATTTAAAAATTTAATGCTTTCAGACTTGCAAAAGAAGGAATGGCGGACGTTCAAAACACGGGCGTGGACATGTCCAGCCCGTCAGGTGCACTAACTGCGCCCGATGCGTTCCTAAAGACAAGGCCATTAAGAAGTTTGTTATAAGGAACATCGTTGAAGCTGCAGCTGTTCGGGATATCACTGATGCCAGCACTTATCCAGGTATGATGTGCTATTTCCTTGTTTTGAAAATTTATATTCTCACATTTCGATTTTTTCCCTTTTTTTAGCTTATCAGTTGCCCAAGCTCTACGCAAAGTTGCACTACTGTGTCTCATGCGCTATTCACTCTAAAGTCGTGCGTAATAGGTCTAAAGCCGAAAGACGTAACAGGACTCCACCGCAGAGAAATTTCCCTAGAGTAAGTGATCGTTGTTGAGTATGCAATTCGTTTCATTTTAATTTTGGTGTTTTGTTTCAGGACATGAGACAGGGAGGACAGCAAGTCAGAAAATAAATTGTCATTTTTTTCAATGTTTCAATAAATTTTAAATAAAACTTGTTTCATATATTAAATTTTTATTCCTTTTACTTCATTTAAACGAGTAGTTGAAATGTTCAGTATTTTATATTTTTACAATTTCTTTCTTTAAAAAACTTGTAATTGTTGTTCATTTATCTGAATTGTGGAATACAGATTAGTTATGAAGCTTTACAGAAAATATTTTAAGAGATGAGAAGAGGATACTTGGAAAACGTGGGTTCGACAAGCACTGCAACCTTGTGGCTTTTGTACTTTTCCTAGTTTCTTTCTTTTCCAGGGACAATCGTCAATTCAAACATTACTTCTAAGCCCACCAAAGTAATCAATAAACATTTTAACCTTTACATTACAACGATGCGCGCCAAGTCAAAACTTTAACGCCAACTTTTATTATTTTTTATCATGTTATTCTTAACTGTACATATACTCAATTATACAAGTTTTTTAAACAAAAATTGATGTCACAAGCGGATTTGAACCCATAACCTTCGGCTCAATACGCTGCTGCTCTAACTACTTGAGTTACTGTGAATTTGATCACCCACGCCACAAACTTCTCATTTCCGATGTTGTTCCAATTGTAAGCAAATCGCTGATTCATATAGGAGCAAATTTATTGATCCACAGATGTGATTCTAGGGTAATGCCAACTTTTTATTTTTATCTTGTTATTCTTAATTATACACGGTTTTTTTTTTTTTTTTTTTTTTAATTGATGGGGTTTGTATCTTGCCTGTGACAAATTTTTCATTTTGAAAAAATTGTGTATATATGAGTACATGTAAAACTAGTCATTGCAGCCACCGTGCCCATTTAGCGCTACATTTTTATTGTTAATTAAACAAAAAAGCGTTAGAGAATGTTCCCTCATTGTTTTTAAGAAAGGACTGCAATATGCATGTTGGTGTGGACACTATTGTTGCGGAGCAGATTCTGAATCGCAACATAAGTTGGTTCAAACAGTCTCAGTGAATAGCTTAAAATGCAGTGTATAGGCCTTACAGTCAGTCATATATAATATTTGGTCCATTGTAATCTCCATTCTTGCTATCTTTAGTAGATTTGTGTTTAGTCTTGCAACTTGACTGAATAAACAAAAAACAATCCATCCTAGTTGTAGGACCAAAATTAATTGTTAAAAACACGAACATCTCTTTAAATATTGAAACATGTGGTTTCAAACTTTATGACATTAGTATAAGTATTAATTTTTGGGATCTTGGTAGCCAAATGTTTGGCATGTCTGTGGTCAGACTGAGCTAGTAGACCCAACTGTCATGGGTTCGATTCCTATATTATATCTGGAATTTCTGTCCCTGACCATCAAAAAAATATTGTGATCATAATTTGGCTAATCTGCAAGAGCTTAAAGCCATTATTTTTATTTATATCAGAAAACTATATGTTATATTTTATCTGATATTCTTAACACATTAACTAGGTTATGTGCTGTAATTAATTGTTCTTCTCGGACTTCATCCTCCTGTTTATACTTGTTAAAACTCCCCTCCACTTCAGAAATTCTTAGGACCGCCTTGGAAAGGGTACATAGGTCTCTGGCTATGGACATTTCAATTTTTTTCAACTGATTTTTTAATTTATTCTGTGAAAACTGCACAATTTTGCTTTTATGTGCGTTTTATTATGTACCTATTTTGTATGATTATGTAAAATTATTCAGGGTTGCCTACTTGATTTACTTAGTGCTGTGGGAGACGCTTAAACAAAACAAGATATATCATTTAGATTATTTTTAAGTACCAGAGAGCTATTTAACATGATAAATTGGGTTCCGCCACAGGACACAGTCAACTTAAAACAAACATCAAAAATGATTATTGTTTGATATTTCTCTTCTGACAATTTTTTTCTTTGTAACAATAACTTGATAAACAAGAATTTCAATTTGATTTTATAGGGAATAAAATGGAAAAACAAAAAAGTTTTATTTATATTTATTTTTTCATATAATTTGATTCAGTAAACAATGAATGATTCTACAGTCAATAAAAATGATGTAAAGAACATTACTCAATCTTGCATGAGTAATCAACAACTAATATATTTGTATTTAGATGTACTTTATACACCTTACTCTATGGACATAAATATTTACAAATCATAGTACTGTGTTAAATGATTTTAAGAGTCAAAAGAAGAAAAAAATGTTTTAGTGCTTCTTTTTTTTGTAAAAGTTAGAACAGAAATTGTACATTTGTGCTAAAAAATATTCTTTAATCTGCTGTACTCTCCGCTGCTGCTCGAAGTTTTTTCTCAAAAACCTTTTTAGCATCGCAAAACCCTTGTTTGGTCTTTCCGAAGGAGTTTGGCCCTGCTGATGTTGGTGTATCTCTGTAAATTGAACATTGGTGTTAAAACGGATTTTATGTAACAGATGAAAAAAAAAAAAAATTGTACTTGCCTTCCAATATTCCTCATTCTCATTTTTGCCTCGCGTGGCATTTCTTCTTCTTCTTCACTGTCGGAATTGAAAGCTTCCCTCAGCGAATTCTTAATAGGTTTGGGTTTTTCCTAAAAACAGAAGAAAAAAAAAAAGTTAAAAGTCAATCTGTTTTTAATGATTTGTTAAATTTACCTCAGTCTTCTTGATGACATTTTTCAAGTTATTCTGGTAGAGCACCTTCTTCCCGATGCTGAATGCGAGCTTCGCCTTTTTGGGAGCGGGTGCCTCCTGTGCCGGCTTTCCCTCTGAGTTTTTCTCCTGGGTTCCTGAGTAAGGTGAAACACTGGCAAATTTAAGAACAACGCCCAATTTAACTAAGACCCATTCAATGGGAGATTTGCAATATTCACTTCCATCGTGAGAACCCTTGTTTATCAAAATAAATTAAAAAAAAAAATGGGGATAAATGTGTCTCAGAGTGTACAAAAACCACTGAACAGTTCCGCTGCTTTTAATGAGAAAATAAGATCAAAATTCTGTCCAAACAGAGGGAATTAATTAAATAAAGAACCTAACCAAAAGAAAAACATTTCTTACAAATTATTCGAGTGAGGATCAGGTATTGGGCTAGTGCAAAAATAATGCAGGTTTGGAAAAGGCAGTCAAAACTATTTCTAATTTTTACAAAATAATGAAAATTTATTTGAAATATTTTCCATCACAATCTCTTAACCTTTGCCAACAAGTAATAAAGGGCTTTTATTCCACTGACATGAAAATCTTTATTTTGACCCACACTAAAGACTTGGAAGGCATTTTTGTCTTCACTGTATTCTTTAAAAATTTTATCTCTCAAGAAGTGATCAAAATGCCTAAAAAAGGGGAAGTCTGCACAGACAAGAGGTCAGGTGAATATCAAGGGGGTGGTAAGGGTCCTTAAGTTTCCTCAGGGTTGGCATTGCGACATGTGGCCTGGCATTATTGTAAAGAATAATCGGCCCCTTACGGTTTACCAATGCTGAACAAAGACGTTGCAGTTTACCATGCATTTTGTCAATTTCTTGGCAATATTTCTCTCCTGTCCATAAATCAAGAAATGTGTGATGTTTAGTGACCATTAGTCAATGATTATTCAGAGATCGTGAGATGCAGTCTGGTATGATAGGTTTTAGAAAAACATTTTCTTTAACATTTCAATTTTCATTGAGATCATCTTCAAGGCTCAAAGTGTTTATTTTCCATGTAGATGTGTCTCAACATGACAGATAAGAATGAACCGCATGGTAAACAAACACTTTGAGCCCTGAAGATGATCTCAATAAAAATCGAAACGTTGGCACGATAAACAAAACGTTTTTCTAAAACCTACGTCATACCAGACCGCATCTCATGATCTCTGAATAATAATTCAAGAAATTATAGTGAACAAACCCAGCATTACACTACCAGTTACCACAACCGTTTTTGGATGCAGATTTGGTTTTGTGAAGTGTTTTGGCACTTCATCCTTGTCCAACTACTGATCTGAGCACCTACTATTATCGTAGAGAATCCATTTCTCACCACACGTGATGATTTAATTGAAAAACGGATCATTTTGGTGGGGCAATAAAAGAGATGTGCAAATTGCAAAGCGTCGATTTCTTTGGCCTTTGGTTAGTATATGCAGTACCCATTTGTGGAGCTTCTTTACTTTACCAATATGCTCCAGATGGCAAACAACAATAAGTTCTTCCGCAATTTCCCATGTCATCAAGAAAATATTTATGAATGATAGAAATTTGTGAAGTATTGTTATTTTTGGTCTCACGACAATCAGAATGTTGCGCTGAACTTATCTGATTCAAATCTCATGATTTAATCCTTTTTAAAAAGATAGTTCCTACTCACAGAAGTTACACAGTAAGCTTACTGTAAGCAGGAACTATCTTTTTAAAAACACCACACTCACTGTGAAGGGTGATTCATCATTCTCATGATTTATGTCAAGGGAATTCTGGTACACCCTGTATATAGTACCATCAAGAAAATATTTATTATTTATTTTTAATGATGGTTTATTAGCACCTTATTAAATAATATTATTAAATAATAAATTATTTTTATTAGCACCACATTTATTATTTAATAATATTATTTAATAAGTTGCTAATAAACCATTATTCAAAATAAATATTTAATAGAAACCTTAGCATAATTCAACAAAACGATTTATTGAAAATATTTATGACTGACAGAAGTGAGTGAAGTATTACTATTTTTTGTCTCACGACAATCAGAATGTTGCAATGAACTTTTCAGCTTCAAATAGACAGTGAACGTCTCATGATTTATGTCAAAGGAATTCTGGTACACACTGTATATGATATCATCAAGAAAATATTTACGATTGACAGAAGTGAGTGAAGTATTGCTATTTTTGGTCTCACGACAATCAGAATGTTGCACTGAATTTTTCTGCTTCAAAAGGATAGTGAACATCTCATGATTTATGTCAAGGGTATTCTGGTACATCCTGTATATCATATCATCAAGAAAATATTTTTGATTGACAGCTTCAAATAGACACTGAACAACTCATCATTTATGTCAAGGGAATTCTGGTACATCCTCCATATAATACCATCAAGAAAATAATTATGATTGACAGAATTGAGTGAAGTATTCATATTTTTGGTCTCACGACAATCAGAATGTTGCACTGAATTTTTCTGCTTCAAAAGGATAGTGAACATCTCATGATTTATGTCAAGGGTATTCTGGTACATCCTGTATATAATATCATCAAGAAAATATTTTTGATTGACAGAAGTGAGTGAAGTGTTGCTATTTTTGGTCTCATGACACCCAGAATGTTGTACTAAACTTTTCAGCTTCAAATAGACAGTGAACATCTCATCATTTATGCCAAGGGAATTCTGGTCCATCCTCCATATAATACCATCAAGAAAATAATTATGACTGACAGAAGTGAGTGAAGTATTACTATTTTTGGTCTCACGACAATCAGAATGTTGCACTGAACTTTTCTGATTCAAATGGACAGTGAACATCTCATAATTTATGTCAAGGGAATTCTGGTACATCCTCCATATAATACCATCAAGAAAATAATTATGATTGACAGAAGTGAGTGAAGTATTACTATTTTTTGTCTCACGACAATCAGAATGTTGCACTGAACTTTTCAGCTTCAAATAGACAGTGAACATCTCATGATGTATGTTAAGGGAATTCTGGTACACCTTGTACATATCATCAAGAAAATAATTATGATTGACAGAAGTGAGTAAATATTGCTATTTTTGGTCTCACGACAATCAGAATGTTGCACTGAACTTTTCAGCTTCGAATGGACAGTGAACATCTCATAATTTATGTCAAGGGAATTTTGGTACACCCTTTATATATCATCAAGAAAATATTTTTGATTGACAGAAGTGTGAAGTATTGCTATTTTTGGTCTCACGACAATTCCTGGGCTATTAAAATTATATTCAATCGGATAATCCAAAACATGCAGTACATAAAGAAAAACAATAGTTGAAAACACATTCATTGCACAATAGTATAATGTAATTGTAATAAAAACATAGCTCACCTTTTAAATATTCGTCTGAGGTTCGTTTGGACATGCTGTCTTTAAAAATTAAAAGCCCCGGCGAGAAATCTTTTTTGAAATTGAAAATCCTTTTAAAGGTTTGACTAAAACTTCATAGATGCGGACTTCGACAGTCCAAGTATTGACTTGTATGAGAAAGTATAGAAAAAAACAACAAGATACTTTTTAGATGATACTTCAGTCCTCCTACCGATCGGATGGCGAAACTAGACTATTCATGCGTGCCTTTATGATAAGTCTCATGTAGATGTATAACATACCGACATAAAAAAATCTACAATACGTTTTTATTCAAACAAATTCGGTTCAATTGTAATAAATAAAATTATATCAGCTTTTGTACAATGCATATGTCCAATGTAATAACGATTCTATGATCTCTTTCCAACTCGATTTCAATCATGAACGGCCCTACGTTGAGTTGGAATGGGCTGAACCCAAATGTATATAATTTTGGTTATTGGTCATCATATTCAAACATTCCCCTATCTCTTTCCAATTTTCCAGATTCCCTATTGTGTCTTTCGCACTTCTAACACAAATAAAAAAAAGAGTCAGGTTGCAATCTGTATATATGTAAATATTTAGTAAAATATACTAGTTTTCCAGTTTTTCCAGATTCCCTGTGTACAAAACTCTTCCTTTTTTTTTAAGTCTAGATTACCTTGAATTCCTAAAGAAATAATCCAGTTTCGTCTTATAAAACAGTACAGTTCAAAAATACATGTCTTTTGGCAAACATTTATTATTTACTACCATTACGTTATGACAAGCAATACTTTAATTTATAATATACATCACTTATAATCAAGATTATATGGACATTTATAGATATTTATATTGCAATTCTTTGGTTCATTTGTTGTAATCATCATATTCAATATTATACGGATTCTTCATCTCTTTCCAATTTTCCAAAATTCCAACATACAAAACTCTTCCTTTTTTAAGCTGATTGCTTGAATCCCTAAAAAAAACATCCATTTTGTTTCATCTTATAAAACAATTCATTCAATTTCAAAAAATTTAACATTTCTTTTGATAAAAGTTTTATTTTCATTTATTATTTACTTACTACCTTTTTTAACTAGCTTTTTTTCTTTTTTTTTCTGACCTTACTTTGTGCATTGGCCAAAGAAATAACTATATGAAACCCGATGAGGCGGAGATGACCAAAGGGGCCAGGAGGAGGACCAAAGCCACCCAAGCCAACCCAGCGGGGATGCAACTAGCTTTCAAACATGATTGTGTTATGTTAAGTTGGATTGAACTGAATCCCCTTCGGTGTCAAAATACAAAAACGAACTAATTATTTTCTTACCAATATAATTTTTACTTAAGAAATAATTTTTTTTCAACAACATATAACAATTACAATAATTAAGTTAATTTGTAGTAGCCATCATATTCAATATTATACCGATTCTTCTATCGCTTTTCAAATTTCCAACATACATAACTGATCTTTTTTATGTTGGATTAACTTGAATCTCTAAAGAAATCAATCTTTTGATTTGTTACAACTTGTAAAACTTTTTTTTAATCAAACATTTATTATTTACTATCATTGCTTTATAACAAGCAATATTTTGATTTTTAATAGTCATCACTCATCATAATCAACATTACATGATTTCTTTTCATCTTGACTTCAAACATGACCATCCTGCGTTGGGTTGGATTGGGCTGAACCCTCTTGGGTATTAAGAATGGTTAATGGTCATAATATCCAATATTATACAGGTTCTTCTCTTTCCAATTTTCCAGATTTCCAACATGCATAATTGTTCCATTCCTTAAGCTGGATTGTCTTGAATCCATTTTATCATTTTATAAAACAACTAATTCAATTGGATTTAGGGATGAGGATATGTGGTCTACAATCCGAAGTACCTGCTGGATTGTTGAGTGTGTAGAGATTTAGAGATAGTATTTGTTTATTCCTGTTGATGTTGGACAGTTTTGCTGCGGATCAAGCATTCATTACTTTTTTTTTTTTTTTTCCATAAGCGTAAGATATAAATATTAATATCAACCATCTATGGTTGTTTCTAATTGGTTGGTTCTATATCTAATAGAAGGACCATAATTTTGGTCCTTCTATTGGCACTGGTTTTGTTTGTCAAATGTGTTTTGGCATTTTTCAAATTCAGTTTTTTGTATGTGAGATATGTTGGGAATTGTGTGCTTCATAAGAAGTAGCTGTAAAAAAACTTATAAACCCACTCGGTTATATTTTAATTTAATTTTAAGTCGACAACCTAGTCATTTTTGTTTTATTAGACAATTTTTATTCCTTTGCTTTCAGTGTTGCACTTGCACCATGGCTATTTTTATTGTTTAAGCAATTCTTCATCATTTTAATTTACATTGAGAATAATATTGTCAGTGTTGTTAAAGATTAATTTTTGACTAAGCTCGCCAAAGTTTACTGAAAAAATTAATGACTTTAGTATACAGTTTTCATTTTGTATTATTATTTTGTAGTTAAAAAGTTTAATTAAGTTTTAGTGTATTTTTTTTAAAGTTATTAAGTAAGGAAAAATGAATGTACATTGACAAAAAAGCAGAACTTTAGTATAATAAGTATGCTTGTAGAGGCAATCTGTAAACTTTTTCGGTTTTGATAATTTTAAAGCTAGCTCCATTTCAATTTTAGCCTTTTTTCACTTAATTATCGGTTAAAGTACGTAAAATTACGTAATAGATTTCAAATAATTTGACTAAGACTTACTTTGCGTCATCACGTGACCTAAGGAGTAGAGAAACAGCAAGTCAATAGATGTAGTTCACAATGGACTGGCCCCTCGGCCTTGGTTTGGTGTAGTTGGGATCCCACACCAAATGGCTGTTGATCGTTTGAGAGTTATCTTATCAGAAAATGATGCCGGTACATTTGATTTGATTTATTTATAATAAAATGAGCTGGAAATGCACGAATTTCGGCTGCTTCCGAGCCCTCCTTGCCAACGTTGTCAACGCGACTGTCATCTCAGTCGACCAAATTGGGGTTGTACCATGGTCCCTATTTCTATGGATTGTATGGCTCTTTTTACATACCATATACAAGAAATTATTTCAGGTAATTATTATTGCCTTTAAATAATTAGGAAGTCGACTTTGGTTAAATCAAACTAAACTGCTCAGGGATATTGCCAATTTTGTAGTATTTTACTTTACCTACCATTTTTATTTTATTTTTATTATAAATTGCACCCATTCAACCAAAATCCTCCAAAATGCTTGTAATAAGATAAACGAATAGACGAAAAAATGGAAAATCAAGCTAAATCAGCATAAATCAGTTCATATAATCTGTACAAACAAAAAAGTTGACCATGTTCCGTCGCTCACAATCGATGGAACTACTATACCATGCAGCGATACAGCTAAATATCTGGGAATGACCTTAGATGCCAAGCTGAGATGGAAAGAACACGTGAAGAAAAAAAGGACAGAAATAGGTTTAAGGTATAGACAACTATACTAGTTGATAGAACGTGGCTCCAACTTTGCTATACAAAATAAAGCATTATATAAACAAGTCATAAAGCCTATGTGGACATATGGTATTCAACTATGGTGTTGTACCAAACACAGCAATATCCAATCATACAAAAACTCCAAAATAAAATCTTACGTGACATGGTCAATGCACCTTGGTACACAAGGAATATGGACTTACACAGGGATCTTAAGATCCCTGAAGTCACGGCGGAAATACAAAGATTTGTTGCGAAACACCAGGCTCGCCTCAGCCAGGACGAGAATGTGGAAGCGTTCAAACTCTTACATAACCAAAACATGGTCAGAAGATTAAAAAGAACAAAGCCATATGAACTTGTTGTTAAAAATGAATAGTGAATAGTGGAATGTAAATCTTATTGTACCAATGGTTTTATAAGAATGTAAACATTTATTTATTCTATAATATTATTTTATATACTACCAACTCCACGGTTCATATCTTCTCTATTGATAGGTTGAAAAATTCCAAGATCTCCATGGTTGAAAACTTTTATTCAATTTAGTAAATTACATGGACGTTTTGGGCTTCTGGCTCATCATCAGAAACCAAACATAGAGAAATCTCATGGTATTCACAATCTTTAGTTGCTGATGATGGGCCAGTAGCCATGTAATTTACTAAATTGAATAAAAATTTTCAACCATGGAGATCTTGGAATTTTTCAACCTGTAATATTATTGTAAAATTAATGGTTGGTCTAATAAGACCAGTTTTAATAAATAAATTTAATTTTAAAAAAATTATAAATTGCATTAAAATTTATTAGAAATTGTTTTTTACTGAAGGCAAATTTAATTAAGGAATTTTGAAAAATAACAAAATAAAGGCTTTAATTCCATAATTTTGTTTATTGGTCACAATCATTTTTTTAAACAATTAACAGTGTGTACAATGGCCTCTGTTAGCTAAAAACTCTGTGCACCTCTTAGTCATACTGTTAAGAAGGTTGTCACTAATTTCATAAGGAATTTCACTCCATAGATGTTGAAATGCTGCACTCAGTTGTTAAAGGTCAATTGTCTGCGGATGGTGATTGAAAAGCGTTCTCTGCAATGCATCCCACATGTGCTCAATGGGATTGAGGTCTGGAGACAGTGGGGTAAGGGGCAGATGGGAAATTCCCAGGTTTTCTAAACATTGACGAACTCTGCCTCTTTACGGTCTGGCATTGTCATCCACAAATCGAAAATCCCTGCCAATGAGATCCCCAGTTTGAGGGAAGATTCCTTGATAATTTCTTGGACATTATCCTGCAGTGCAGTGAGGTTGCCTTCAACAATATGGAGTCCAGTTATCCTCCAGTTTAAATACCTGCCCAGAACATTACACCGCCTCCTCCAAACTGCACTGAAGGGATCACAAACGCATTGTACGTATCCCCTGTTCTTCGGTACGTGCTATCACTATAGAGACAGAAATTCGACAAAGTAAATATAACAGAATTTCAATTGGTGTTCTCTTCTAGGTGCTCGCTGCACCATATTCTCCTGAGTACTGTTGAGGTCATCTCAAAGGGGCATAAGATGTGAGGCCAACTTTCTACAAACTATTATGAATAGTTTTGTTTTGATGAAGGCCTTGCCAAAACATCTTGTACTTCATTTCGGATCTGGCGGGCACTGTGGAAAGGGTTCCTTGCACCAGTGACAATATTTCTGTTCTCCCTTAGCATCGTAATGTGCTGAGATCTACTTCCAGGCCTTCTGTTAGCACTTCCAGCCTCTCAGAATTGGGCTAAAGCCCAAGAGATGTCTCTCTGAGAAACACCAAATCCTTCCGAGATGTCCACTTGCTGGTGTCCAAGACGACTCTTATTCCCAACTTCTGGTTCAAGATGATGTATTTCCATGGTTAAAAAAAATAAAACTGGATTGAAATGGAGAAAAGACCAGAATAAATGTTTTTTTTACAAAATGACTAATCTTCTTCACGTTTACTATTCATAAGTAAATCTGGTAAAGAATAAATTACAAATATTCATTCATATATATATTATAAAAACAATATTCATTTTTGAGCAGTTTAGTTGAACGATTTTTTTTATGACAAAAGTTTAAAATCTTGAAAAATCAAAGTGGACTATGTTTATATTTGTACATCTGAATATTGGTTTGGTGTGATTTTAGAGCCTCCTCAAAAGGATATCGGTTAAGGAGCCACAAAGAACGAGGCTCGTCAAGATCTACTGGGCCATCGCATTTGCCGGGATGTCGATTCCATTCGCTTTTCAAAATTTAAATTTGACATTAGAGGACATCAAGATCAAGAAATACCATGTTCTCGAAACTCAGAAGTGGCTCAGCAAAGGTCCGTTGCCATCTGTACAGACGAAACTGTCTTATGTTCTGTTGAGCGGATTCTATTTGAACAACATCTGCGAGACGAGCATAGAACGAGGTTTTAGAAACATCGAGTTCCTCATTCATGAATTTCTTGCCATATTTTTCATTACTACTTTTCCTCTAAGGTATGTTATTCAATTAGGGTCAATTTTAATAATTTTATATGTGTATTTTTAATTATTTTTAGGTGTGTCCTGTTTGGAATTGCTTTTACCACTGTTATAAACATTGAAAAACTGTTTCTCGAATTGACAAAATTAATAAGTACACTAGGAAGTGTTGCTAAATCAAAAACATTGCATATTGTATCTTTCTCTCTTTTCATTTTACATTCTCTTATATGGTAAGTTTTTATTTATACCTTTTTTTGGCTGTAACATGTTACTTAAATACCTGAATTTTCAGGAGCTTTCTATATTTGCACATTGTGCCAAAATACTTCCTTCTGAAATCTTTTGCAAAAACGAAGCATGGTGGTGATGTTCAACAAATTTCGGTCATGCTCGCTTCTACGTTTTCCCTGTGGGCTTTTTATGTTTTGGAAGTGTTCTCATCTGTAAATATATTTTCTCAACTTTAAAACTTGACAATTTTAAACAATAATTAACGAAGGTTGTTTAATTTCAGCCGATCAGTAGAGCTGTAATTAACTACCTGTATAGCAAGACGAACAACTTAGAAAATCTACTGTTTAAGAACGACCAGGCTGTTGAACAGACGACCCAGAACGGTACTCACTCTTGCAATGAAGAACCTGATTTCGTGGAAAAAAGGCAAGAGAGCAAACCCAACAGCGAGAAAAACAAAGAGAATCTCCTACTTTTGTACCACACTGTAAAATGTAAGTTTATTTAGTTAAAAAAAAAAAAAGAAAAAAGAAAAGTCATTACAACAGAAAAATAATCTAGGTGTAATAAGGATAAAAAGAAAACTGAATAGAATACGAAGCAAAAAAGAATCTTCGACTGATGAAAATGAACAGTAAGGATTTTTTTTTTTTTAAATTCGCCCAGAAAAGAATAATTTCACTGACAAATTCTGTTTTCTAGAAACTTAGCTCAGAAACAAGAAGATAATATGAATGAAAGTGAACAAGTTAGCAAAGACGCGTAGAAAAAGTTTTTCTTCTTCAAAGAGTAACAAAAATTCTTGATTTTTTCCTTGTGATGAATCTTTCACATGTGATAACTTATAACAAAAATCTATTTTATTTCTCAAAGATTAGATTAATGAAACAGATTTTTATCTTTACTAGTCATTAATTCAGTGTTTGTGTGTTAGAAACTTTGTTATTTATTGTTTGGGTAAGTCTGTGATTCTCCACTTGATCATATTTACCCATTTATATTATATTTTAATATGTCACATTTTTACTGTTTCTTATTAAAAAAAAGTAATAAAAGATGGAATTTATCAATTTTATTATCATTTCACATTTCCTAGTATCCCTTGACGGGTTTGTTTAAAATTAGATCTCATTTTACATATGATTAAGATTATATATATTATATTTAGTGGTCTATTGACCAAATTATTTCATTCAATTAATTAATCTTTTTATGTAAGGTTTTGGTAGAGATAAAAAAGCAGGTGTCACGAGTAGAATTCGAACCCACGTCCTTCGGCTAGATACGCCACTACTCTACCACTTGAGCTTTCGTGACTTCGATCCACTCGGACACCAACTTCCCATCTCAACAAAATTGGTAAAAAGGAGGGAAAATTCGAAAGGTAGGCTGAGATGGGAAGTTGGTGACCGAGTGGATCGAAGTCACGATAGCTCAAGTGGTAGAGCAGCGGCGTATTTAGCCTAAAGTCGTGGGTTCGAATCCCGCTCGTGACGCTGGTTTTTTTATTTCAACCAATACCCCACATAAAAATTAATTAATTGAAAGAAGTTATATTTAAAGTTTTTTCAAATAACACAGATGGTTCAGTCTAAAAGGTCCCTTTTACACAATTGCTGTGACTTTAATGAGAAAAGATGTATATGGTTGCTATATTTGCAGCAGTCATATCGGCTTAAGTGAATAAAACAGCTAAATATTTTAATGTTGGAATACCAATTATAATACATACATTCTTAGAATTCGGGATTCATGAAAATTTATCTTTATAGAATTAAGATTACAGAAGGATTCGGCCTCTAATTGCGGCACACCATGACCATTCTTAATCTATTTTGCATGTGCAACCAGTATTGGTCTATTGTGCATCTCCATTATTGTCTAGATCTCCTCATTAAGCTGAAATCTTTTTACCAGATTCCAAAGCGTTTTCAAGGACTCCCGCCTGTATCCTTGAGGTCCAGGCTTTTCCTTCCAAATGACATATTTTCACCATAATTGTAAAGCCCACCCACACAACAAATAATGAAAATTTTATAAAATAAATTGGTTATTATTAATTAAATAAATCACAGATCTTCCCCACACTGAAATATGTGTAATGAGCCAGAAAGTTGTAGACATATGTTTTTTTGGGTGTCTGGAATTTGAGGAAGAAAGAAAGATTTTCTTGGATGGGGTGTTTCTGATTGAGGAATGTGTAACTCAATTTAGTCGGGAGGGTTTACTTATGGCCGAGAATGAAATGAATATAAGTGGCATTGGGGTTTGACCTAGGGAGGCTCGGTTCACTGCTGAGTTCGACAATTACTGATCGCACTGGTGCTGTTAGACTGACGATAAACGTTTTTCGGTAACCTTGTTTTGCTGATCTTTGCCTCACTGATCAGAGCAAGTTCCCCAGGTGTGGGTCCTTGCTGAAATGAGTCCTTCAAAGTCACAAATGTCTTGTTCATCTTCCTCTTCAGAAAACACAAAATATACAAAACAATGAAAATTTTATAAAATAAATTGGTTATTATTAATTAAATAAATCACAGATCTTCCCCACACTGCAATATGTGTAATGAGTTAGAAAGTTAAGTTGTAAACATAAATTTTTTTGGGTGTCTGGAATTTGAGGAAGAAAGAAAGATTTTCTTGGAAGGGGTTTCTGATTGAGGAATGTGTAACCCAATTTTGTCGGGAGGGTTTACTTATGGCTGAGAATGAAATGAATATAAGTGGCATTGGGGTTTGACCTGGGGAGGCTTGGTCCACTGCCGAGTTTGTCCATTGTACTGCAGTTTGTTGTAAGATATATTTGTGCTTATTATATATCCCTACACATGCTATTCCAACGTTCAAACCACAATGCACACGACTAGACTTCCAGGGCTACTATTTTGGAAAGACGGTAATCAGGATGTTTCAAGAGTTTAAAGATGTAATTAAAATGAAGTTTGAAGGTATATAAAAATAACGGGTCAACTTTAGTCTCTAAATAAATCATAAAATTCGGGGTAGTTTTGGGAAGGGCAAATAACTTTCTAATGAAAAAACGTTGAGGTTTTTCAAGCTGTTCAAATTTTTCATAGCCCCAGATTTGTGAGGCATAACAGTATCGAGCGGCAAACTGAGTGGAACAGTCTGAATTTCACTGGAAGGGAAATAAAATTTTGGGAAATTAAGTCGTGCCATATACAGTTCAGAGCCCGTTTCGCTGTAGACACTTTATTGTTGATATGATAATTGAAAGACAGACAGACAAAACTGAGTGTCAATTTCAGTGAAGAACTTCTTGAACAAGTTAGATCATCCTCGCGCTTTTTATTCTAAGGAACTTTACCAAGATGATTTTAATATGTTTAACTTATCTAAGGAGAGGTCTAAAGGTTTGTCGTTGGTCGAGTTAAGGTTATTCAAAATCAGGGGGGACCTCCTTTATCTCAATGGTGCACCTTTTCGGGCTAGAGAAAATGTAATTTGTTCGTTATGCAATGACCAGGTTAAAGAAGACATAGTGCATTTTATTGCAAAATGCACTATCCTATCGGAGATTTGGCTTCTGCATCTAAATTTTGCCAAATTGAATGTGACACAGGTTATTGACTTACTGCTTAATTAATTAAGGTTTTTTGTTGAGACAAAAAAAAGTTAATGGCACGAGAGGGATTTGAACCCACGACCTTCGGCTTGATACGCCGCTGCTCTACCACCTGAGCTATCGTGACCTCAATCCACTCGGACATCATCTCCCCATCTCAACCCCACCTTATGAGTTTTCCCTCCTTTTGCCATTTTTCAAATGTCGTGTAATCGGTTTGGATTCTCGACGACAATTGAAATGGCGACGGAGATGGGGAGTTGATGTCCGAGTGGATCGAGGTCACGACAGCTCAGGTGGTAGAGCAGTGGCTTATCTAGCCGAAGGTCGTGGGTTCGAAATTTTAATATATTAATTGGTCAAGCGGACCACAAATTAGTGAATTTACTTTACTGCTTAATGATTACAAAAATTTAATCAAATATGCTCGCCACACCTGGCACTATCGCCAAGAATTAATATTAGAATTTAATTTTTGAATATTTTAAAGCCTTGACATTCTAAATTGCTGGCCCAAATAATTTATATATCTATACTTGTTGTAAAATAAACAAAGAACAAAAATTATTGTTTATAAGGTATGTTAGTAATTAATGTAATTATTAAAAATTAAATTATCAATTGTAATATTTATTTAAGGATCAATTTTTTTTCTTTTGTACTTTTTTCTCTGTGTCGACCAAAAATTTAAGTCAAATGAAAATCGACCTCCGGCAGACGGACCCTCTATGCCGTAATTTTACTTAATTTTTTTATTTGTGTGTAGGTACATTTATGTACATTTGATAGAGGGTAGGTGGGGGTATTTTCCTGCAGTTCAGGTTTTTCCAGTATTGAGGGTGCTGACAAATAGGAATTCTTTCAGTGAAGTATGAAAAAAATTACTGATCGCACTGGTGCTGTTGGATCATTGTTAGACTGACGATAAACATTTTTCGAGAACCTTACTTTGCTGGTCTTTTCCTCATGTTCAGGGCAGCGAGTCTTTGCTGAAATGAGTCTTGTTTTACACCTTTTCAATGGCAAAACTTTCCATCTCGATTCCTTGAAATTCACAAATGTCTCGTTCATCTTCCTCTTCAGAAAACACAAAATCTGGGCTGTTGCTACGAAGAGAGAAAATGTCAGATTCTGAGGAGGTAGAAGCTATCAGTGTATTTTCTTTCTTTTTCGTTTTTTTAAAGTTTAGTGCTTTGGAACAATTGCTGCTTATAATTTTTGCCCTTATTCACAGGTTTTCATTTCAGCGCCAATCGTTTTTTTTTTTCTGCAAATTCTTTTTCCAATATGTGGTATGGAAGTAAGGAGGATGCTCTTCAGACCTCTTCCTTTTGATTTTAATTCTCGGCAAAGGTAAGATTTCTTCAGAAGATCCAATAAAAACTGAAGATGAACTATGAGAATAGGTCCTAAAAAGTGATCCTGAAGGAGTGGAAGGAAGGGGGTCAAAAGGGCTTCCTTCAGCTATGTCTCTTGGGAGTATGATATTCATTCTGATGCTTGCTGCTGGTTCACCCCTGTCATTTGTGCTGTCAAATATTGCTAATTCACTCCTTTCATACACATTGATATCTATTGATTAATTCTGTCATCTGGAGCTTCAGCTGCAGAAAGTCAGTGGACTTTCGCACTGGTGTACCCAGTACCTTCAAAAATAAGTCTTCAATCATCCAGTTCTATTTCCTCGTATGTTTCTTCTAAGCCTTGATCAACTTCACATGCCAAAAAATAAATGTCTGAAAATTACATTTCTATTGAAAGGGACGATACCAAGCCCGAAAACCTATGAGAGCATTTTTCAATGCCATGCAAAGTCCAAGCAGGAACTTACCCCTACTTACTCTATGCTTATTTAATTTCAAAATAATTAGAACTATTGATGTATGGCTCAAGGTTAAGAAAACAAAAAAGTGGTTAAAGAAAAAGACTCAGATTTTGGTATACTATTGGAAACAGCTATATAACAACTATTTATTAACCTTAAGTAACTAGTTTATTTACAATATAATACCAATATTAAGAATAATTTTAATTAAACTTAAATAATATGTACAAACTCCCTCATGGTAACCATGAATTTATACACAGAAACTTGCTCATATTTACAATGTTAAAAAAACAAAACATATACATATAAAAATTGCAGCTAAAGCCTTTTGAGCAATCTGTGGCTCCCATTCTTATGATCACACCTGATGACCCATTTAGCTCTCGGATTGCTTTGGAATACGGCCCAGAGCTGAGCGCCAGGCTCTAATCTTCTCTGACCTGGAATTTTCGATTTAAAAAATTTAAGATTAACTTTTTTGTTGTAAAAGAGATTAAAGCATTATACCTATGTTGCCCCCGACTTCATATAAAAAGTGCGTCCTGAGAGCAGTTTCCGGATCACCGGTGCTAAGAAGACACGACAGGTTTCCATTAGGCGCCAATTCGGACAATGCCCTCGATTTTGCATCTCTTCTAGTCGATTTGACATTCCTCGGGCATTCCCTTGCCAGCTCCACAATTCTGTTTGCAATTTGTCTCAATTATTATTATTATTAATTTTTAAGGGCGTTTTAACGGCTAAGGTCATTTCACACCCTAACATCTAAACCTTCTATCTTAGGTTAGCTATATCTCTTCTGAGTGCTATAAAGCTCTGACTCCAAACATTCACTCGTAATCTAATTTATCCTATTGCCATCCAAGCTTTAATTTTTCTTTTTAAAATTCTTAATTCGGAAGGCCAAATGTATACAAAATTCCCATTTTAAATTTTATAAAATTTATTTCCGTTTCTTTTTTTAATTAGAATGTGAAGTTTTGTTCATAATTTAAAAATTCCCCATAGGCTTGTATGGCTAATAATAATAATAATGATGGAGTCAGACTAGCAACAGTCTCAGCATGAGTATAGGCTCATCCTTATCCTTTTATTCTTCCATTCAAATATGATAACTAATTCTACATAACAATAATAAAAAATAAAACACAATAACATTTTTTTTTTTGAGGGGGCTATTTTTCTTATTTAAATTGCAATTTTGGGCATTGCAGTTTATTCCCCCGCAATTTGTATTTTCTTCCATTTCATTTTTCCGCTCCGGCAGCCTCAAAAACTTCTGAAAAAAGAAATCTTGCACGCACAACTCTTATTCAAACATTAGCAGGCATTCAATGGTATAACAATTTGGGAAAAGGCCTAAATCTCATTATAAATTCCAATAAATTTGAGAAAGCTGAAAAGTGCTCTTCGAAAGAAACACTGGGGACCCAGTAACTCCTGTAAATCACTCAAAAGGTTGAGCCTTTGCCTAAAGGGTTGTAAAGTGGGACAGTCGACCAAAATATGTTTTACTGTCAAAATGGTGCGTTCTCCACTTCGCGTACATCGAGGACAAGTTGGAAGGTTGTTGCCTATTAAAAGCCTATTATGGATTAGCCTGATATGACCTATTCGCAGTCTAGAGAGAATCACACGTTCTTTTCTTTCAAGTTCCCCAGTTGGCTATATATGTACAACTGGCTTAATTTCTTTCATACTATCTCTACAGACATTCCATCTTGCCGCCCACTTTCGTTTGATAATGTTTTTAACATAAACGACTGTATCATTTGAACAGAGAGGAAATTGATCTGTTCTTTGTGGATGGTTTGCAGCGTTTCTTGCCTGTTGATCAGCTTTTTCATTTCCAGAAATGCCGACATGACTAGGAACCCAAACAAATATCACATGTTTGTTGAGTGTTCTGATTTCATAGAGATATTTGTGAATTTCTAAGATGTAAGGGTCAACCGAGAAATTATTTTTGATTGCTTCGAGACTACTTTTCGAATCAGAGCAAATAATGGCATTACAAATTCCTGGCGATTCCTTTATAATGCTCAATGATCTTCTGATTGCATGAAGTTCAGCTGTGTATACGCTAGCCTCATTCGATAGAGACCCAGCTGAAGTTATACTCATCAGCAAATATCCCATACCCTACACCAATTTCATTTTTAGACCCATCGGTATAAAAAACTTTATAATTGGGATAGTTATTTAAAATTCGCAAGAATTCTGCCTTGATCATCAGAGAAGGTGTTTCTCTTTTGTTCAACAAGGACAGATCTTCGATAATTGTGGCAGTAGGTAATGCCCACGGTGGGATATCTAGCAATTTAAAACCCTCAACCGCCGGCAAGGTATTCCCTCCTAATCTCAACATTTCAGTACCGTGGATTCCGAGAGGTCCCGTCCTAGTTCTTACGAACGAGTACATATCTTGGTGAGGGTTACGGAAAACTGAAGGAAATAGAAGATAGAAAGGCTTAGACCAAAGTCTAGCAACAAACCTAAGAATTGCCTTCTCCCTGAAAAGTTCCGGAGGAAGGACACCGGCATCATTGCAGAGACTATATAAAGGGCTTGTTCTAAATGCCCCTGTTGCAATCCTGATACCTTGATAATAAATTCTATCTAGAGGTTTTAAAGTTGATATTCGCGCTGAAGAGTAACCTGCTGCTCCGTATCGAAACTTTGCTCCTAAGTACATGCTGAATATTCTTAAAAGAATGTCTCTATTCGCTCCCCAATTGTAATTAGCGAGGAATCTCATCAGGCCTAGTATATATTATTATTATTAATTATAATTATTATTATTTACCTCAGAATGACTTGGGCAGCGGTTGTTTGTTTGTCCATAGATAACGGAAGGGATGTGAATAGGAATTGAGGGGCTTCGATGTGAATTATACTGTTTAGCAATTCTGCTTCCTGTATGGCGTTTCTTGTAATAACTTGTCCTTTTCGGCCGAGCAACCTCGACTTCTGAGGATTGAAATAATACGTTGATAAAATAATTATTGGAAATTATACATAATTTTAAAAAAAAACTAAACATACAGGCTTGTTTTCTTTGTGATTATCATTAATTCGTCTCAACTGAGCAACCAGGTTGTCAGGGACCACCCACAACCTTTCTGAAGCTTGTATCATCACCTCTGTGAGTTTACAGCTATGCACGGCCAGGCTGACCTCAGCTTTAAGTTCCCTTTCTTTACACAATCTGTTAAAAAAATATTGTAAGATAATTCTAAAAACAATAGATTTTCTAATAATCTAATAAAAATATTAAATTAACAAAACTGGTTTTAGGCATTACATTGTATTTTGTACATTTAAGCATTAAGAATAAGTATGGTGATTTATGAGATATTTAGATGTATAAAAAACTTAAAAAAAAAACTCACTCTTGAGGAAATAAAGAAGGTGCTATGATCATAGCAGTATTGTGTAAAGACATTTTGTTGTTGACGCTGTTATTTATGAGACTAGTTAAGAAAATAAGCAAAGCATGTAGTGTAGCCCTATGTTCAGGAGGAAGAAGAAGCACAAGGAGGTTTAATGCCCTTGCACATTCTGGAATACCTACAAATCATTAAAAACAAAACATCATCAATGATAATTTTTTCCCCTTAATATATTTATTTTACTCACTGTGGGCTTGGTAAAATGTGCTGAGAAGTTGCGAAGTTAGCAGCGGCTGGGGTAGCTCTCTCAGCAATTTCTTAAGTATCGTTGCAAGGTCGTGCGGCGAAGCGATAGAAATGAGGTGATCTGCGACTTCAGGCCTTTGATAGAATTCCCGTTCAAGTTTTGAACATAAGATTTCCACCCTTTGCTTGTTGCCAGCGACTCTTAAGAGGCCCTCTTCGCAGAGGCACCTCCTTTCCAACTCCCCAAGTACCTTTTGGAAGACTAGAGGCACATAATGGGGGTCGGATGTTATTTGTCTGTCCCTTTCCACGAGCGTCGATAATGAGACTCCAAAAAGATTACCATCTGGAAAGTTATTAGTTTTGTATCAGTGATGAAAGATCAATTGCATAATTTTTTAAAATTGTTAATTACCTTCTTTCCTTTTACGCTTGTAAGGTTTGCTCTTGCCCACCCTCAGTCCAGAATTGTCCATGAGAGCGGTGAGCTCCAAGAAGACAATCGGTCTCAACGTTTGTAAATCTTCTTCTGCTAAGAAGTCCACCCAGGTCCTTCCAACGCCTTCCTCCCACGAACAAGTCAGGCTCTCCTTTAAAACCCAAAATTAACATTGAAATGCAAGTTTTAATAATAAACCAAACAAGTCTTACATTCAAGCTAGCACAAAGTCTTTCGCCGGCCCACATCTCTTCAAAGCCGAGTGTATCAGAATGTGAACTTCCTCCGCTGTCTCTCCTTCCGTTTTCGTTGAATATCCCTTCATCACTTCTGGTAACACACACAACAGGACTGAAATAAAATAATTTCACAATGGAGCTATTTCAAATCAAAAATGAATGAAAACAATAATAACGTACTGTTGATTGTTTTCCTGTTCCTGACCGATAGAGCTGATGCTTATTGGATCACTTCCACACCTTACTCTAACACTTCCTATCCTCTGGTAACCAGTCATCCGAATCCCATCAGCTTAGAAAGTGAAACAATTTAGCAAAACCGCACATAATTTGGGCTTTTATTATTATTAAAAAAAAAAAATTACCAGTTTCAGAAGCAACATCTCCACCAGATCTACTCGCTCTCCTAAAGAGAGAATGGTGTGACAAAACAGGAGCATTTGGACTGTTGGCTCCCCTTCTTCGAGATTCTTGCCGAGGAACTATGGGCATTAGTCTCCTAAGAAAACAATAAGCTGCATTTTAGATTTTTTTTTTTAAATTGAAAAAACTAAAGTTGTTGATCCACAAAGTTCCAAACTGATTTCATTTTTGCTAAGTTTATTTTAAAGCGTATAAGTGGTTGCTTAAAATTAGTAGTAAGCACCAATAAAAACGAACAACAAAGGTCAAAAAATATTATAAAATGCTTCTTCTTAAGAATTTGGCCATCGATTATCATAGGAAAGTACTTGAATTTCTGAATTAAATCAATATATGACTAAACTATATGGTATTTTTAAGTATTTAATTTCTTTTTTTTAAATGTCTTAATATTAAAATATCTTTAAAGTTAAGAAAGAGCAAATTTTTAATGGGTTAAATAAATAAATAAAAATATAAAAAAGAATTTAAAAAAGCTAGCCTGACTCCATCATTATTATTGGCCATACAAGCCTATGGGAAATGTTTAAATTATGGAACAAACATTTGAAATTCTAATTAAAGAACAGGAATAAATTTTACAATATAAAATTAATTACCCTTAAAAATTAATAATAATAATAATAATAAAGAAATTATTATTATTAATACGCTGAATTTGAGAATTTTTTTTTTGAAAATTTAGAAATTTAAAGTAGTTGATCCACAAAGTTCCGAATAGAATTCATCTTTGCTAATCGTATAAACCATTGCTTAAGTAAACGGCTATAAAAACGAACAAAAAAGGCCCAAAAATAGTACACAGGGTCTTTTAAAAACATGGTTATTGAATATCATAAAAAAAGTAGTTGAATTTCTGAATTAACTTAAGCCAATCTATGTCAAAAATATATGGTATTTTTCAATATTTAATCTTTTGTTAAATTATTTAATATTGAAATATTGTTTTAAGGAAGTGCAAGTTTTCAGCAGGTTTTTCATTTTTAGACAAGTTCTTAAGTGATGGTAGTTTGGTGCTCGATTTTGAGTGAGATTCATCTCTTACACATCTCGGTTGTTTTACTCGCCAAAGAAGTGAGCTATTGCGGTTCTTGAATGGCTAAAATTTTCAATGCATGATTCGGTTTGTTAAACATGCTTGGAACTACAGATTTTTATTCTTTCATTGTTATTTATTATATATATGCTGTATTTTGTATTTTATTTTGTATATTTTTTTCTCCCCTCTCTCTTCTCTAAATTGCACATATTTCTAAACCAACGATCTCTGACAGATGGATAGGACGATCCATGTATTTGTTCTTTAATTTAATGAAAAAAAGTTATAATTTTATTTTAATAAAGCAATTATTATTAATAAGCGGAATTTGAGGATTTTTTTTGAAAATTTAGAAATGTAAAGTAGTTGATCCACAAGTTTTAAATAGAATTCATCTTTGTTAATTTTATTTTAAAGCGTATAAACCATTGCTTAAGTAAATGGCAATAAAAACGAACAAAAAAGGCCGAAAAATATTATACAGGGTCTTTTACAAACATGGTTATCGAATATCATAAAAAAATTAGTTGAATTTCTGAATCAACTTAAGCCAATCTATGTCAAAAATATATGGTATTTTTCAATAATTAATTTTTTGTTAAATTATTTAATATTGAAATATTGTTTTAAGTTAAGGAAGTGCAAGTTTTCAGCTGGTTTTTCATTTTTAGACAAGTTCTTGGGTGATGGTAGTTTTATGCTCGATTTTGAGTGAGATTCATCTCTTACACCTTGGTTTTTTTTACTCGTCAAAGAAGTGAGCTATTGCGGTTCTTGAATGGCTCAAATTTTCAATGCATGATTCGGTTTGTTAAACATGCTTGGAGCTACAGATACGAATTGATTCAATAATTTAATTTATTCTTTCATTGTTATTACGCTATCAAAATTTTGGGTATAGTACTCATTTTTAATACTTGTATTTTGATTGTATTTTTTAATTTTTTTTTATATATATTTTGTATTTTATTTTGTATATTTTTTCTTTTCTTCTCTCTCTCTTCTCTAAATTGCTCATATATTTCTAAACCAATGACCTCTGACGATCCATGTCCATAATGCACTTGTTCATTAATTTAACGAAAAAGTTATAAAGCAATTATATTATTAATAATAAGCTGAATTTGAGAATTTTTTTAAATTTAGAAATTTAAAGTAGTTGATCCACAAAGTTCCAAATAGAATTTATCTTTGCTAATTTTATTTTAAAGCGTATAAACAATTGCTTAAGTAAGCACTATAAAAACGAACAAAAAAAGGCCCAAAAATATTAATATTATACAGGACCTTTTAAAAACATGGTTATCGATTATTATAAAAAAGTACTTGAATTTCTGAATTAACTTAAGTCAACCTATGTCAAAAATGTCAATATTTAATTTTTTTAAATGATTTAATATTGAAATATTGTTTAAAGTTAAGGAAGAGCAAGTTTTTAGCTGGTTTTTAATATTTAGACAAGTTCTTGAGTGATGGTATTTGGGTGTTCCTCTTTTGGCCTACACACGACTTTTTAAAAGCACAAAGCCCCCGCGGCTTTTACTTACGTGTAGTCGAGCGAAGTCCTCGGCGGCGAAGCTCCATTCGAAGGCGTGCTGTGAGGGCTTGGAGGTCCCGAGTCGAGCGAGTCCGGCGTCGCGGATCTGGAGCGGGAGTCGTTGCTCAGCCTCTGCAACAAATGAGAAAAAGCTGTATCTGCAGAAACGGAGGTCATCCGGCCTTTGCTGCCTCCTACTCCGAGAGTGTAGGCGATTATTCAAGCATACTACACCTACGGGCAATCTGATTGTCGAGGTGAAAAATACAGGTCGACGACAAAGGCACATGTTGGACTTTTCTATTAAGTTCCCGTCAGAAATGCAATTTTTTCGGTTATTATTAATATCAGATTGCCAATTAAAGCAATAAGAACGATTGGTAAGAGTAGGATAAACTTAATTCAATGACGATAAGCCATAGGGGAGGCAGTCCAAACGAGGAAAAGTACAGGCTTGATAAAAACTTTTCACCTTAATAATGCTTGAATTTTCCTCGCAATTGCGAACTTGTCCAAAGTGCGAGTAGAATATTATCCAATAGTGATGACCAAACTGTTTTAATTAGGTCATTTACATTGCCTTTTCAAAGACGCATTTCAAGAACAACATAGCGAAAAAGAGGGAACATAACGAATTTTTTCGTTCCCTACAAACTTAAAATCAATATAAATTTATACTTTACTAAAGCTGTATATCAAAACTGATTAATTTCTATTATTTATACAGCTTATGCGGTTCCTCTATTTTATTTGATACAAATGAATTCCTAAAGCTATCCTTTTATCTCTCAGCATTTATGTTTTATTCATACGTCTTCATTCATATTTTCATTGTCCAATCTTTGTTTGTCAAGTGCAGTTTTTACTATAATTACTATTTGGAAATAACAAATTTGGCCTAAATAATTCTACAATTTGCATACTTTTTTTCCCATCAAATTAACCTTTTTTACCTTCAAAATAACACTTTTAATTTCAAATTAGTCCTTTTTTAAAGATATCAAAACATCTAGGAGGTGCTATCAAACCTAAGTACATAAAAAACAATAAAATAAAAATTATATAAAATGTAAAAACAAATGATTCTTCTAAATATAAACTAATTGGGCTTTAAAAACCACACGAATATAACACAATTAAAACACTAGTTTTTCCGTAAATTATCCCATTCCCCCTCAATTAACCCTTCTTTTATTGTTCAAATTAACCCTTTCTTTAAAACATCAAAAACCTAGGAGATGCTATGAAAATATAAAAATACAAGATTACAATTTATAAGGTTTTCCCGTAAAATGAAACCTTTTTAATTTCACATTAATCCCGTTTCGCATAAAATGAAAACATTTAATTTCACATTAAGTCTTTTTCACATAAAATGAAACCTTTTTAATTTCACATTAATCCCGTTTCGCATAAAATGAAAACTTTTAATTTCACATTAATCCCTTTTTGCATCAAATGAAACCTTTTTAATTGCACATTAATCCCTTTTTGCATAAAATGAAACCTTTTTAATTTCACATTAATCCCTTTTTGCATCAAATGAAACCTTTTTAATTTCACATTAATCCCTTTTCGCATCAAATGAAACCTTTTTAATTTCACATTAAGCCCTTTTCGCATCAAATGAAACCTTTTAATTTCACATTAAGCCCTTTTCGCATCAAATGAAACCTTTTAATTTCACATTAAGCCCTTTTCGCATAAAATGAAACCTTTTTAATTTCACATTAATCCCGTTTCGCATGAAATAAAAACTTTTAGTTTAAAATGAACTTTTGTTAAATTAAATAATCTTTTTATATAAGGTTTTGGTTGAAATGAAAAAGTTATAAACACGAGCGGGATTCGAACAGTAGAGGAGCGGCGATTTAGCGAAGGTCGTGGGTTCGAATCCCGCTCGTGGCACTGACTTTTTATTTCAACCAAAACCTTACATAAAAAGATTAATTAATCGAAAGAAGTAATTAAGTAATAATCAATATAAAAGTAAGAAGTAATAGTCAATAGACCAATATAATATTTTTTTTAAATTTTCAAATTATTTTTTTTTAATGTCAAATTAACCATTTATGTTATAACTTCTAAATAAATCTTTTTAATTTCAAATTAACAGGTTTTTATACTTCAAATCAACCCTTTTTACATCCAAAATATCCGTTTCTTTAAAACTCTAAAAAAATTAGAAGATTGTATGAAATGTAGCAGAGGTTAAGTAAAATTCCTGCATTTGTAAAAAAGATAAACATAAAATAATTTTAAGAGGAATCCTTTATTTTTATATTTTATTTGGTACAATATGAATTATAATTCATTTTCATGCGGTTTTCTGGAGCCCAATTATTTTACATTTAAAAAAATCTCAAATTAAAAGAAAAATCATTTGTAAGTACTATGCTCACACAGGCTGGAGAGAGGGCGTTGGTGTTGTAAATGTAAATTATTAGCGTGAATGAGGGGATTATACTCCCGAGGAATATCGAGTACTCTGCGGTGGCAGTGTGTTGTCTGGAGAGTGAATGAAATTTATTAGCGCGAATGGAGGGTTTAAACACGACCGAGGTTAATTTCAAATACGAAAGGGCCAATGTCAATTACTGACAAAACAAAACTATATACAAATCGCAGTTCAGATTTTTAAGAAATGTAAGCACGAAAAGTAAAATTCGACCAAATGTGAAGTAACAAAAACGATATAGAATTAAACATAAAAAGAAATGATTATTTTTTTAATTTGAGATATTTTTTTCATTCAAAATAATTTGATTCTTAAAAATGATAGTTTCTCAAATTAAAAGAAGATTCCTTAATTTTTATATTTTATTTGATATAATTTTAATACATTTTCATATGGCCTTCTGAGAGCCCAATTATTTTATATTAAAAAAATTTCAATTACAAGCAAAAGAATTTGTTTTTATATTTAATTTTAATTAATTCTCATGTAGTGTTCTAAGAGTTTAATTATTTTATATTAAACAATTTTCAAATGTAAGGGAATTATTAATATTATACATGCTTATGTTTCATACTATCCCATAATTTTTTTAATGCTTTAAAGAAAGGATTAATTTAATGTTAAAAAGGATTAATTCAGTGCGAAAAAAGGTTAATTTGTCGGTAAAAATTGTACAATTGTGTTTAAATACATTGCTCAAAAATTAATAGGGATATTTCTAATTTATTCTTGTTCTATTATTTTAAATTAAATTAGGATAAAACAAAATAGAAAATACAAACCAAAAACAAACAAATGTTAATCCTCATTTTTAATAACGGATTTACTGAAGAATAGTAAACCTAAAGATTTACTCATTTTGTAAACGAACACTTTTTCTCGTCTTGTCTCCATTTTAATCCAGTTTTATTCTCTTTAACCATGGAAAGACATCATCTTGAACCAGAAGTTCGCAATATTATTGTGAGAATGAGTCATTGAGGTCACGTAAGTGGATCGCAGAGACTGGAAGTACCAATAGGAGGCCTGATAGTGAACCTCAACGCTTATGACGCTAAGGGAGAACAGAAATATTGTCATTGGTGCAAGACGGAACCCTTTCCACAGTGCCCGTCAGATACTAAATGAGGTACAAGATGTTTTGGCAAGGCCTTCATCAACACAAAACTATTCATAATAGTTTGTACAAAGTTGGCCTCACATCTTATGCCCCTTTGAGAGCACAGGAGAATATGGTGCAGCGAGCACCTAGAAGAGAACACTAATTGGAATGCTGTTATGTTTACAGATGAATAGCCTTTCTATCTGTGTAATGATAACAGGCGCCGAAGGGTCTACCGAGAACAGAGGATGCGTACAATGCCAGTTGGTGCCCCATTCAATGCAGTTTGGAGTAATGGTCTGGGCATTACACTAGAGGACGAACTGGACTCCATATTGTTGAAGGCAACCTGACCATAGTTCGTTATCTCCAAGAAATTATCGACCAATACACCCCTCAAACCAGGGCTCTCATTGGCAGGGATTTGGATTTATGGATGATGCCAGACCTCATAGAGACGAAGTTATTCTTCAATATTTAGTAAACCTGAGAATTTCCTATCTGCCCCTTACCCCATTGTCTCCAGACCTCAATCCCATTGAGCACATGTGGGATGCGATGAAGAGAAGGCTTTTCTATCACCATCCGCAGCCAGTTGACTGCAACAACTGAGTGCAGCGTTCCAACATCTATGGAGTGGAATTCTTTATGAAATTAGTGACAACCTTATTAACAGTACGCCTAACAGGCGCACAGAGGTCTTAGATAACACAGGTATTAATTGTTTAAAAAAATATTGTGCCCAATAAACAAAATTTACCTCCAGTAAAAAACATAATAATAACATAATGCAATTTATAATAAAAATTAAAAAAAATGCTAGGGGCAGTAAATAGTACAAAATTGGCAATATCCCTATTCATTTTTGAGCGGTTTATAACCGATTACCTAATTTACAATGATCAACATAAACAAATTTATTGCTTATTTCTAAAGGGAGAGGAGAAGAGAAAATTTTCAAATGTACTGGGACTCACCTCAGGGTCTGCGAAAAGTTGTCTGATGTCTTTCCTCTGCCGGTAGCGCCCTGTGCGCTGTCTCACCGTTTTGTTAAGGCTGTCGACTCTCCTCCTCACAGCTGCAGCCTGCTCTCTTGACAGCATCCGCAAAGCTGACGAGAGGTCCGTGTCGGAGATTTCCCTGCCGGAGAGAAAAGCCGGTTCCGTCACCTCGCTCAGCCCAGCCGCTTCGAGCCATGCGCGTTCGTCGCTGCATTCGCCTTCTGCAAGTGATAAACGACGATTTCAGCATGCTAAACTCAATGAAAAAAAAAAAAAGGAGCTGTCGCAAGACAACCGCATACCAATATCACGTCATTGAGGGATAAGCAACGGGGAAAGAATACATATTACCCTCGGCATTGCTGTTGTTTAGATAAGTCAGCTAAGACCTTGGGGGTCTACTCGAGGTGAGACACATTCTATCAATTATAATAAAACGCAATTCTAATTAATAAAAACTGTCACGATTTGAGTGATTCAAAGTTATGCCCAGTATAGGTCTTACTCATTGGCGAAACATCTTATATGACCATTGCAAGGTTGGTTCAATATACAAACATAAATAATGGTTTAAACTTGTCACACTTTCAAACCAACCTGTAATCCTACATTATCTAGAATATTTTACAGAAAACCACTAATTTTAAACACTGTCAAACTGGTTTGAGAAAAATGGTTTAAGTTACATGACCAAATATCTATACATAATATATATATAAATATCTATATATAAATATCATCAACAAATCCTTTACAATAAAAAGCAATTCTAATTACGAAATAGCTAAATATTAAGAGCCCTGTTTTCTATAGTGGTGTTGGTTGGTGGGTTTATGCTAATTTGTTGGAATAAATATCATTTATTAGCGTGAAATGAAGGGGTTGCTTAACTCCGTCCCGAGGCGTCTCTCGAGTGATAGGGTCATGTCAGAATAGTAAAATAAGTTACTCTAGGTTGAGTGTGTCAAATTTCTACATTTGTATTGGGTGTTGTGTTTATGTTAATTTATTGTAATGAATACTATTTATTAGCGTGAAATGAAGGGATTGGTTAATTCAGCCCAGAGGAGTTCTCTGGGGTGAGTGGGTGATGTCTATATAGTAAAAGTAAGTTACTCTGGGCTGAGTACTGTCAGATTTCTACATTTGTATCGGATGTTGTGTTTTTGTTAATTTACTGGAATGAATATAATTTATTAGCGTGAAAGGAAGGGAGTTTCTTAACACTGCTTCCAGGAATATTGGGCACTCTGGGCTGAGTGAGTCAGATTTCTATATTTGTATCGGGTGTTGTGTTTTATGTTAATTTATTGGAATGAATGTAATTTATTTGCGTGAAATGAAGGGGTTGCTTAATTCCGCCCTGAGGAGTTCTCTGGGGTGAGTGTGTGATGTCTGGATAGTAAAAGTAAGTTATTAACGAGAATGAAGTGGGTTCAACCCAGCCCCGAGGAATGTTGAGTACTCTGGGCTGAGTACTGATTTCTATGTTTGTATCAGGTGTTGCGTTTATGCTAGTTTATGATATGAAAATGTGAAAGGAAGAGGGTTTCTTAACACTACCCCAAGGAATACCGAGCACTCTGGAGTAAGTGTATGACGCCTGAAGTAATTTATTAGCGTGAAAGGAAGGGCTTCACACTGCCCGAGGAATATTGAGTACCGCAATTGGCACACCCACTTTATGAATACACCAGGTGTATAACAATCAAAGAGTTTTACAATATCCCGACCAGTAAAACAAAAGTCTATATCTCTTTCAGCAGGTAGGAAGGAAAATGATAGGCTTTTATTTAACTGCCTAATTAATTAAACCCCTTAAAAAATAGAAAAACGGAAACCAAAACTTACCGACTCTGGCATGAAAGAGCACAAACATTCCTTTGCGACTACAAAGCATAGCCCGGAAAAAGTACAGACACTTTGAAAAGACCAAACTAACGCCCAGGGAAAGGAAGAGGAAAACCGGAAAGTGCTTGGAAATAAAGAATAGTCAATTCCACAATTGATCTTTTAAGCCGCAAGAAAGGGAGACTATCGACACCAGTGTCCCCAGGGAAAAAAAAGTTATTCAATAATTGACAAATGTCTCATGACATCATGTAGTTCATATATGAAATCTTAATAAAACAATATCTCACTTTTTCGATAAACTGTAATAATATTAATAATAATTGAAAAATGGCAAAAAGGAGGGAAAACTCAAAAGGTGGAGTGGAGATAGGAAGTTGATGTTCGACTGGATCGAGGTCACGATAGCTCAAGTGGTAGAGCAGCGGCGTATTTAGCCGAAGATCGTGGGTTCGAATCCCGCTCGTGCCATTGACTCTTTTATCTCAACTAAAAAAACCTTAATTAATTGTAATGTATTAATTGGTCAAGCGGACCACGAAATTAGTGAATTTAATAATAATAATATTCACATTCGAACCAGTATGGAAAAAATCATGAACAATCATAAAATATCAATCCTAATCACTCCCAACAAAACCGCTCTCAACCCCAAATTTTATCAACTAAAAACCTTAATTAATTGAAAGATATTAATTGGTCAAACGGTCCACGAAAACTTGTGAATTTAATAAGTAAGTAATGAAGTATAATAAAAATGGCAAAAAGGAGGGAAAATTCAAAAAGGTGGGGTTGAGATGGGAAGTTAGTGTCCGAGTGGATCGAAGTCACGATAGCTCAAGTGGTAGAGCAATGGCGTATTTAACCGGTCGTGGGTTCGAATCCCGCTCATGACACTGACTTTATCTCGACTAAAAACCTTAATTAATTTAAAATTTAGGCTATGCGAACAAAGTATCCATTAAAAAATGATCGATCAAGGCAATTCTAATTACATAGCTGTCCATATAAAGAGTCCTGTGTTATTACATTTCTTTACCCATTGATTAATGACCCATGACATCAACCATTACTAGGTTGGTACATTCAATCTTACCCAATAAAACAATCTTGCTTATGTGTATGAATCTCTCTATCCTAAATGACCTAGTAAATATAGTGATATTTGACAAAATTGATTGAATCATTAACTCAGAAAACTCGTATGAATAGTCATACAACATCCTCCAGATAAACGTCCATGTTGAAATTATACGAGTAAAATATCCAAACAATCATTGATTAGGTTCATAAACAAATGATTGATAATAAAAACTAGTTCTAATTGTTAAATAGCTTTATATCAAGAGTCCCTTGTAATATTTCTCCAGTCATTGACTAATGACTCATGGCATCCGACCATTACTAGGTTGACAAATTCAATATAGTTCGACGCAATTTCAGTTGTTGATTATCCGTCACAATTTCAAACCGGAATAAGACCATAAATCATCTGTCACACATGACAAAGTACCTTAGTCATTACCAAAAATCACAGGTATCATAAAAAAATAAAAACTCGGATGAACAGACGAGAATCTTACGCTGAAATGACAAGAAACCACATTTTCAACGCTTATAAATTCTACTTTTCTTTAAACAGCCACGACAATAAAACAGCATTAAAATATTTAAGACTTCAAGTATGGGAAAACGCAGATATGTAGGCAAGGAACCTGGTCAATTGTGATCACAATCTGCCACCGTTCGTCCGATAAATACAATATATTATAAAACGAAATTTCCTTTCTTTATAGCTGTCATATTTTAAAATCAACATGTAATCCAAGCATAATGAAAATGTAAATAGTTTCCTTCTATTAAACTAAGATCGTCGTTATGTAAACTAAAGACCTCCTTTCTACTAGTTTCAAATTATACATGAAATTAATTGTATATTGACTCACAAAACCAAGAAAAAATCCGTATAAATTTTTTTTATATGTTAGTGAAGGTGTTTTTGCGTTTTACATTCTAATAAGAAAATCGCTTTGTTCATATTTAAATTTCTGCTTTGTAACCTATATCCCCCTGTTTTCGAAAATTCTCAAGAAATCAGCTTAATTGGCTGTTTGTAGGAATGTTTGAAGGTGGATTTTCGGCCTGCTATGAAGAAGGGAAAAATATGATTTGCTTGAGAAACCCTGGTTGAAAATTTGACCAATCGATGGCAACCTATTTGGGTGTCTAATAAATAAATAATTGAACAAATTAAAAAAAAAGCTTATGAGATTATTATTGGTAATTTGTTAAATTACCGATTTGGCAAACAGCTAAGTATAATAAATATCAAAAATCAATAACGGAACCAATTAAAAATTAAAAATCTTAACAAAACTGTACGTAATTTTTAAAATTATTGATTTATTAAACAGCCAATTTATGTGGGTGTTTAATATAACAAATCAATAAATAATTGCACAAATTAAAAAAATCTTGCCATTATGTGGGGATTTGTAAAATTATTGATTTATTTAACAGCCAAACTATGTCGGTCTTTAACACAATAAATCAATAACTGAACCAATTAAAAAAAAAATATCTTGACATTATGTGGGGGATTTGTGAAATTATTGATTTATTTAACATCCAAACTATGTGGGTCTTTAACATGACAAATCAATAATTAAACCAATTAAAAAAATGTTGACATTATGTGGGGGTTTTGTAAAATTATTGATTTATTTAACAGCCAACCTATGTGGGTGTTTAATATAATAAATCAATAATTGAACAACTTTAAACAAATCTTGACATTATTGTTGGGAATTTGAAAAATTATTGATTTCTTAAACGGCCAATTTATTTGGGTGTTTAATAAATCAAAAATTTTATAATCGCCCACATAATGTCATTTTTTTTTAAATTCGTGTAATCGGATTGGATTTTCAGCGACTTATGAAGTGGCCACGGGGAGCTGTTTTGTGAATTGATACTTCTTTTACTTTTTAAATCCATTTACGTTTTCGTGGTCAATTGACCAAGTTCTATATATCCGATTACACGACATTTGAAAATGGCAAAAACAGGGAAAATTCGAACGGTTGTAGGTTGAGATGGAGAGTTGGTGTCCGAGAGGATCGAAGTCACGATAGCTCAAGTGGTAGAGCAGTGGCGTATTTAACCTAAGGTCGTGGGTTCGAATCCCGCTCGTGACACTGACTTTTTTATCTCGACTAAAAATCTTACAAAGAAAGAATAATTACTTGACATTATTGTTGGGAATTTGTAAAATTATTGATTTCTTAAACGGCCAATCCATTTGGGTGTTTAATAAATCAATAATTTTACAAATCTCCCACATATCAATTTTTTTTAAATTGTTCAATTA